TGCGCCGTACGCTAGCGCTGACCGGATGCACTTTGAGTATACCTCTCGTGCTTTGGCCAGTTCCCGTATATACATTCCTGTAATCAAGCCTTAAGAACTGCTTGGCTGCCGGCCGTCTTGGCAGCCTGCGTGCGCGATGACGCTTGCTGCTGCCCGTGTGACCTCGGCGGGAGTGCGTTTGCATTCGCGCGAGTTGTATTCGGGTTGGAAGCCATGGACTCGTTCGCTTTAGCGGAAAGCTGATAGATAACGGGCAGCGGTAGCTGGTGGACGCCCCAGGAGATGATAGTGGCCTCGGGAATAGAACAGCAGTCAGGAAGTGTGAAGTGGTGGGGGTGCGTGTTCAGAACGAGCAAGTCGAAGTTTGAGGTCTGGTGAAGTGGAATAGCAAAGACTAAGTACAAGCAGTGATTGTCACAACCGCTTCGCGGCTGTCGCCCTCATGTTATATGACCGGCCGGCCTTCGTAACGGCATGGTTCATGTGCCTTCCAACCATGAAAACCCGCAGGCCGAACACCAACGGCAGCTCACCGAGGTCGGGGTGTTGTGTTGACTTGTGCTGTGCATCAGCCTACGGCTGGCCGGCCGGAGTTTGGTCGCGACCCGCGCCGTTGTCTGCATCCTTTAGCACAGCTGGTGCTGTAGGCGTAGGGTTGCAGATATATGTGTAGAAGGGAGCTGGGGCGGGTGGCCTGGAGGCTCGACCTCAGGTGATCGCCGCACTGCGGCCGCCCGAGAAGCCCTCTGTGTTTCAAAATCAACCTCGGCCTGGATCCGGCGGACAACGCTGGAACATGTCCAGAATCCGTCTAGAAACTGCAGAATCCTCCGCAACAGAATCCGAGACAATGGCGCACCCGGCCACTTGGCCAGTTGGCCCAACTGTCACAGTGCACAGAGATCAGCCAATTGCTGAAGCCACAGTGACATTGGAAAACTCATCTTCAAACCATCATATGCGATGACCCCAACTGCACTGCTTTGAATGTTATTTGTAGTAGCAGCACCTCACTAAGGTTAGCTTGCTTTCCAATTACCCTACCCAGCCGTTAGCCAAACCAACTTGGTGCAGTGTAAAATTGATAGTCGCGATGCCCTGCAATTGGTAGTTGCGACACACACTGCAACACACTGTCTTTAGTGGTTGCCACGCACTGCGAAAGTATTGGTCGACTGGACGTGCACTGCAAACAGTTATATGCTATGCCAGTCAAACAGATCTATTGCAAGTCCCAACTCTAGGCCCTTCTTCCGAGGAATAGCTACCGTCCGGGAAATTCCAGAGCTCATCAAGGAACGAGTCAGGAAATCAAGCCTGCTGGCCAATTCCAAGGTGCTCGAGATCAGCCTTGACGATCCGCAGCGTGTTCGTGTTACCCATACCGCCCTAGCACACGAGTCAGCTATGCACCGCCTAACGGACTTTAGTGCAGACGATCTTACCTTCCAGCCCTGTACAACGACCACGGTCTCGCCCTCATTGAGGATGCCCAGCTCGATAGCGTTCTTAACCCCCCACTTGATGCGCCGGTCAACATCTTCCTGCCAGTTGACCTTGGAAAAGTCGGGCTTGGCCTCAGGGAAGAGGAACGGATAAACGCCACGGTACAGATGGGCGTACCGCGAAGAAGATGGGTTGCGGGTTATCATAATGATGGGGCACACGGGCCGGTACTTGGAGATGAAGCGGGCCGACTCGCCAGACGTGGAGAGCACGAAGATGGCCGAGGCGTTGAGATCCAGAGAAGCGCGGACAGCAGCCATGGCGCACGACTCAACGATCGACACGGGCCGCTTAACGAGGGTGCACAGTTCCTCGAAGTGGCTGACATAGGGGATCGAGTTCTCGGCCTTCAGGCAGGCCTCGCTCATCTCGCGGACCGCCTCACATGGGTAGTTGCCCTTGGCCGTCTCGCCCGAAAGCTATCAAGACTGTTAGTTTCGCAACGGAGCTACCAGGCTTCGTCCTCTTACCATGACGCAGTCGGCGCCGTCAGTAACGGCGTTGCCGACGTCGCTGATCTCGGCCCTGGTGGGCCTCGGGTTCTTGATCATGGACTCCAGCATCTGCGTCGCGCAGATGACGGGCTTGCCAGCTATGTTGCACATGGCAATGATCTTCTTCTGGGCCGCAAACACCTCGGCGGCAGGGATCTCAATACCCAGGTCACCGCGTGCGACCATCACACCATCGGTCTCGGCCAGAATCTCAGGGAAGTTGTTGAGACCTTGGCGGTTCTCGATCTTGGCGATGATTTGAATGTGGCGACCCTCCTCGCCGAGAACCTCGCGGATGTCCCTGATGTCCTGACCCCTCCGGATGAAGGCTGTGTCGGGAGGTTAGCGCAGGCCAGACAAGGTCACAAGGCTCAAGCGGCCCGAATCATAACTCACACGCGAAGATCATGTCGACATTGTTCTCGACACCAAACCGAAGGTCGTTCTTATCCTTCTCTGAGAGAGCCGGCAGATCGACATCGGTATTGGGCAGATTCACACCCTTACGGGACGAGATGAACCCGTTGTTCCGCGCTCGAACTTTGATGGTCTTCTCGTCGACAATTTCGAGCACATCGAACGCCAGGACGCCGTCGTCTACGTAGATGATCCGCCCCGGCTCAATCACCTTGGTGATGTTCTTGTAGTCGACGTACCTTGGCAAACGTCAGCATGGTTCCCAGTCTCAGAATACACGACCCACATGTTCTCAGTGTCACAGCACGTCGCATATTTCTCGTCAGTCGTGAAGTTCATGACAGTGCCGGCCGCGAGCGGGATGTCGGCATCGTCCTTGGTGTTACCTGTCCGGATCTCCGGTCCCTTCGTGTCCAGGGCAATGGCGATCTGGCGGCCCTTCTGAACCTTCTCGGCTTGGCGAGCATTGTTGATGACAGACTCTGCATTGCACAAATATCAGCGGTTCGATGTTCGTTGAGTGGAAGCATACAATGGCAATTGCGCAAGCGGTATGGTGAAGGAAAGGGTTGTTGAACAGTCCGGGAATCTCGGCCAACTCTGGCATCACCGTCTCACGGGCATGGGCTGCAAGGGAAACGTACGGTGATATTCGTAGCTGCCGTGGGAGAAGTTCATGCGCACCACGTTCAAGCCAGCTTCACGAAGCTTGTTAATGGCCTCAACCGAGTTGGTTTTTGGGCCAATGGTGCAGATGATGGACGTCCGGCGCAAATTGCGCTCCGGCTGGTAAGCCGTGTCAAGCTGAGCCAGCCATTCGATCTTGCCGCCGAGCTGGAGATGGTCCAAAGCAGTCGCCATTGTGAGGATTGAGGGTTTTCGGAATATGTGGGTGGAGTTTGCGAAAGTCCCGCGCGAGGCTCCGGATCCAAAGAGGATGTGGGATTTTCAAGTCTGAGAACGTGTGGTCAGCAATCTCCGACTACGGAGCGTGGCGCTGACTGGAGAACGCTCAGAGCTTTGATCACAGCGCAGTCAAACAGGAGGAAGCGAGTGTCCGCCCGAAGAAAGTGCCTTTCGAGGCAGCTGAACTTCTCGAGGCGGGCAACTGATTCTCCTTGGCCCCGCGGCGATGCGAAATGTGAAACAACCCCTTCGAGACCGGGTAACAGATACCGCCACCCGGAAGCGCACGATGAAAGGATTCTCACCTCTAACAATACGACGAATTGAGAGTCGCACGGAGGGGAAGGTTTTTGGGAACCTTGGTCGGCGACAGATGGGATATTGGCGTGCCTGCGCGAAAAATTGTGTTCTCGACAACTCGGTGCTCCCTTTCTGATGTTGAGAGAAGGAGCTTCCCAAAAGCTTTCTTTCCCAACACATCCCACTTCGGCGGGGTGCCCCACGCACCCCTCCTTGCCGCTGCCAGGTGCGCACTCGATACGGGGCTGCGAGGTACCTCCGAAGGGAACGACCCTGAGCCACAAGAGGCCCCATGTTGCACCACCGTGAGGCCGGTACTGGCTGAATCTGCGTTCAGACCCAACTAATTTTGAGAAAACCCAGAGATGCTTGCCTCGAATCCATCTTGATATCCGCACTCTGATGTTGATGATCCTTTCCGTCAGGTACCTCGGTGTCTTGCGAGCCGGCCCTCCTGGCACTTGGCAAGCTTCGGGGCCCATAACTCAAGCGCGGGATGTAGGAACCAATCGCTGTCAGCCCTGGCGCCATGTGGGTCGCTTTAGTCGATAAGCTCGCAATTCCCGTGACTCGCACTAGCACTTGGCCCAAGCTTCGCTCGTTCCGGGCAACGGGTCCAGGTCGGCTCGGCTGTCTTGTGATCGATTGCCCGCCACGGTGTTTCCTGAGTATTCGGCTTCACGTCGCCACTGGTTGCTGCGATTTGCCGCTTCAAAACACAGAAGTTGTCCACGAAATCGCGCCGCTCATTTCTGGTCTCGGATAGTTATTGCGAAAAGCGGCCCAGGATGGTGGTGCGTGCTTGCCCTTCCCGCCGCTCGTTTGTCGGGGGTCATACCTCGACCCCTTCGTCGCTTCGGAGTCTAAGATCACTCCCAGCTCCTCGACTTGCTGACTTTGGGGTTATGGTCTAAGCTCGGACGGCTGACCCATTATGCCTTCGACGCTGTACTCTGTAAGTGCTTCCTGGAATCCGGCTCCTGAGCCTCCCGAGTCTAAAACTGACAATTCCCGGCTAGTCTCCGCATTCCTGGCGGGAATGAAACGCTCGACCGGTTTGACGTGAGTGACTCCTCGATTACCGATCCTTTCCTCTCCGCGCCGCACCGCACGACGACCACGAATAGCTAAGCTGACCGGTGCCCCCGCTCTCGGGGATCTGTCAAGACCCAGCTTCAAAACAGACAAGGTAGCCGGAGAGAACAAGGAGGTGTCAAAATGGGTTGACAAGTACCTCGGCGTGGGCGAGTGGGTGATGGACCAGTCAGTCGCCATTGCTGGCTCGAGCGGATGGTTTGAGCGGACCCGGTAGACCCGGTATCTCGAGGGTGACGGAGATTTGTTTTGGAAGTGTGAGAGCAATCATCTCTCTGGACACGGGAGACGGGCTTTTTTGGTGCTGAGCTTCGGTGGGCCGGGTCGTTGTTTTTCGGGTTGGGCCGGATGTTTACCGGCTCACAACATGTTCTACCTGATGGTTCGAAGGGTCTCATCGGCGGCGTTTCGGGAGTTGACCTCGATGCTGGATGCCTTTCTTGTTTGGATCGAGTTGTATAGGAACTCTCCGCACTCTCGTGCACTTTTATCCCACATGTTTTTGCGCTTTCTCCCTCATCGAGTCACTCTTGAGGCATCCCGTGACTTCCCGGTCGCCCACGCATTCGGCACGATGTTTGCCGAGGCAGTTTAGGGGTCCGCAACGACTCGGAATCTCCCTCGAACCCTAAGGACTACACATGACACAACACATCAATTCTCAAGCAGACAAGCCTAATGTTTTCAGAAAGAAACAAGAATGTGCTCTAGTGTACCGCAGTACTATTATCATTTTTCACCAACAGGTACGTACGAATATTCAATCCCCAGAAGTCCATCTTGCCAACCGCCGAATTCGAGTGCCAGCCCAACTGTTGCCCCAACACCTGCGAGGCACCAGAATCTTCCCACCTGTAGTACCGCCAGGCGAAGAATCCTTAACCCATGCATAGCCAACGGTGCATACCTCCACGCGAGGTGAAGGCGTAATGGTCACCAACCAACTAAGCAAGTGGGTGCCCCGAGTTGAATTAAGGGGCGAACGACGAAAAGAACCAAGACACTCATAGTACCGCTCCATATGGCGCCGGCAATGAGCGCGTTCTTCAGCCGGCTATACAGCCACACTACCACACGAAGAAGCCCAGCACCAATGAAGCCTTTCACGATACGGAGAGCCTGATTGTTGAGTGCTGGTCGTCGATATTGTCGCGAAATCTGTCTCCAACACCCTGCATATCGCTCGGTTAGTCGTGCACTCCGTGGTCTCCGTTTTTGAGATGGAAGCCTGCGGATGGTTGCCATGAGAAGGCTGTTTCCAGCACCACTGCGCGAGCGTCAGCTTCCACCACAGATTCACAAGCACACTGGAAACCAGGCTTATACGAAGTTCAGCAGTCGGTAGAACCCCGAAAATCCCACCGGTTGTTCCTTTGGACGAGCCAGCTGTAGAGGACAAGCGCTGGCCATGTGAGCACAGCGCAAATCAGTTTATTGCATACCGCACCGAGATTTGCCCATGTGGATGAAACTCGATAACCGGCAAGATCAGATATCCGACGACGAAGCCTCACGCCCAAGCCGAAGCTACGGAAGTCATCCACGTTTCGTGCAAGGCCAGCATGAGGAGCCGAAGCTGGTCAACAGAGCGTATTGGCACCGGTACGTTATGCCGGCGACAAGGGCGTATCCGAGGCCCTTCTTGCTCTGGCAGACGATTATCCAGGCGTTCCTTGGGCTCCCTTTGAGCGCCTGGCAGATAATCAAATCGGTATGGAGCTGCAATTGGAGACTTTGATTATCTGTCTCTTTACGGAGACGGTCGATCTTTTGCTGCAGTGCCGTTGGGGCTTGGGTTTCTTGGCCGAATGGCACCATGGCGAGGGTCAAAAGCCCAACCAGGATGGCTTGTATGCGGAACACCCAGTGCCAGCGAAAGGCATCGGCGAAGAGGCGGCCGAGAAGGGTCCAAGAGCGAAGCCCAGCAACCGCATGTACAGGTATGTCAAGCGAATAACCTGGCTTGCGCTTGTTCTCGCCCAATAGGTCTTCAACCGTGGCCCATCCGTTGGCGAGAACCCAAACCCCCGAGACACCGGCAATAATCCGAAACGGGGCGAGGGTCCAAGCCATATGTGTGTAGTGTAGGAAAGAAGACGCACCGTTCGCAAGAACATGTGCGATACCGGTTGCAATCATGAATCGCAGTCGGCCGCAGACCTTGCTCACCGGTACCCACACCAACGGGCCAGCAAGGAGACCGCCGACGTAGACCGACACGATGAAGGCGCCTAACACAACGTTTTCCTCGGCGTGTTCCTCGCCGTGGAATTCGGTGAGGATATCGTGAAGGCAGAAAGCAATCATGGTCGACCCGTAGCGCATCGCGGGAGGCCAGGACGAAAACCAAGGCAATGTGAACGGACTTGCGCTATGTGACTTGGTTGCGGGGACTCTCGGGGTCGTTCGCATTCTAGTCGGCAACGTTACCGTCAGGTGGCTAATGGGCATCGTCCGATCCTGCGGTGACTGCTGCTGTGTTGGCGGTCATCCCGGTCTCGTCAAGGTTGTCCAACGGTACGTCTTCGAAGGTCCCCTGGTTGCTCCCGAGCAGGTTGCTGTTCGAACCAGTCGGAGGCTCAACTGTGGCGCTGCCCTCAAACTCCATGGCAAATTCAGCGGTTCAGCCGTCCTCAAGTTAGCCCACGAAGTGTCTTTAAAGCTCGAGAAAAAGGGGTCTTCTGACTGATTGGCGCAGTATTACTCTGGCGGGGAGAATCTGTGAATGGCAGCTTATCCCAAAGAGCTGGATATCGAGAGACTGCGTAGGTTAAAGAACAATAATGGCTAGTAGGAGGTTGACGTCGGTATCTTTCTTGGAGCGATAGATGTAAGGTAAGAAGGGCATAGCAGAGAAGCAGGCCTGGGGATACCAAATATCCCATCGTGATTCAGAAGGCGCTTTCTCGTCCTTGGCTACCTTACCTTGGGTAGGTGGGTAGGTAAGATAGGCTCGGTTGGTCGGCCCCGGTTTTCACTCGTCTCAAGACTCACGCACTCAGAAGCGGTTTTCAAATGAAGTCGGAGACTGGCGGCGCATATCGATTAAGGCAGGTACGTTACCGAAATAGGTAGGCAGCACTGATCTCTAACTCCGTGGGCCGATGCGCTGAGGTCCATCGCTTCTGATGTCAAGATTCAGTTGATTGCAGGGCATCACAAAAGCGAACCATAGCCTCAAACAGACACGATATCGATGACGATGACAGCTTAGGCCACTGACGCAAATAAGGCTCGGAGAATACGACTGACAAAATGAAAAATGAATGCCTCGGACGACGAAAATGGCAGAAACTAGTCGGGTAGCCCCCTGCCCCACGGCAGGGAGGTACTGACGTAGGCCGGCTACGAATCCCCTGTTGTGGTGGGGATTCTACTTCGAATCCGAGTGAGCAGAGGACCCCTTTCAAATGGGAGAGAAAATGGCGGTTCAGATGGGAATCGAACGAGATGACCAGAGATTGTACACTGTAAGTGCCAAATCATACAACTATGTTACCAACATGTCTAACCCTCACCCATGGCTGAGAATTACTGCCAGGCCGGCTATTATATGCATGGCACAGAGCGTCGGCCGGGAAGATGACGTGGGACGTGGACCCACTGCCACGCGTTACTGCTCTATCCTACTGTAGTCACTAGTGAAGTCAGGATGACCGAATGATGTGTTATCTATAACTACCGATAACTGCTGGCTCCTAGAGGTTCTGATCGCTTCTGTAGTCTCATCCAAGACACCATAGTTATACAATACTCCTCAAACAGAGGTGTCCTAATATAAGTTAGCATGCCAACGTGGTCCATTCCAAGACACCGGGCCTGATCATTCGGTTTTCCATTGTTCACAACAGTATCTTTAACTCTACAGACCGTCATACCTTGGTCACCTCCCTTAACCACACCATGTCCTCCCGCAGAACCTCCGACACCCTTTGCACCAGATTCCCCCTCTTCCCCTTCCTCCCCCTCGAACTTCAAGACCTCATCTGGGACCAAGCCGCGACCCTCTCTCCCCAAATCCACTTCTTCCTCGGCCACCGCCAGCCCATCTCCACCTGGGAGGCACGCGAGCCGCCCCTCAACCTAATCCCTCACCGTGAGTCCGGCGCCCACACCCAAGTTTCACTATCCCTTACTTGCCACGCGAGCCGCGGAGCCGTCGAAAGACACACCAAAACCATCATCCTCCAGAGACCGACCGTCATGTGCACGGCAGGCAAACCAAGCGCAAGCCCGAGCGTGGCGCTCGTCCTGAACCTGGAGACAGACCTGGTGTGTTTCGGCGGGCCTGATGCGGACGGCAGCGGCGTGTGGGACGCGATCAACTGGGGCGAGGGCAACCACCTCGTGTTCGGCGGAGCAAAGCGGTTCGCGGTGCGGTATAAACCGGGCTGGGAGCACGCGGGGCCGGGCTCGCTGCCGCATGACGTGCGCTGTCCCGGCGGGTGGGTCGGGGCGAGGAAGGGGGAGAAGGCTGGGTTTTGTAGCCGGTGTGTGGCGAGACTGATGGAGAGGTTTGTCTGGCTTAACGAGTTTTACCTCATTCTTGACGAGGCGGACTTTGGGGACACGGAAGAATTGGGGAAAGGGAAACAATGTCGGGTCTGGCTGAGGCCTGGGTCGGGGCCGCGAGTATTTTACTCCTTCAGCCGGACTTATTTTATGCTGGATGTGGCAGGGATTCCCGGGACAGACGCTACTGTGACAGAGGCTTGTGGGGTTTTGAACCGGTTGAGGGCGAATCTGGTAGGTGGGAAGAGAAAGGAGCTGGTGCAAAACAGTTTCGCTGACGTATTTCTTCCCCGACTCCAGCGCGATCCAGGGCACAATCAGATGCCATGGGTGAAGAGGATCAAAATGGGACTGATGATATGGCGACAGGACATGTAAACTTGATCATCGCAAGCGAATTGGAAAATGTCGCGCCTCTGGAGAGAAGAACTACCTGGTAGGGATGTGGTGAAATGCTGAACCTCGGAAGCCTAACGATATATATCAAGGTTGGAATCATGGAAAGCAGCAGAACTAAGGAACGGGTTGACGCGATGTCTTCAAGGTTGAATTTCCAGATTGTTAATATCATCAAGTTGGAGGTGAAATTGGTTTTCGAGATGTGGAGGCAAACAAACAAGCAATGAACAGAATGTAAATGTTTAGGTGTTACTGGTTTGTAAGATACTCGGTAGAGCAGGCTGATCGTCGACGTAATGTAACACGAGCTGTTCGTCATTCACTTGAATGTATCGGAGAGAGTCGTAGGAGAACAAAGACTGGGTTGAAGCACGCAAGTCAATCGCCAGAGAATCGAGAGGCGGGGAAGTCGGCATGCTGCTTAGGTTGTGATGATGAAGTTGACGAGGTGGATGGCGTACGCTTGCTGCTTCATCAACGAACTGACCAGCCTTGACATCAGGTATCAGGTATCTGTGGCCCGGTTTGTCGGCTCGAATATCCGCAAAACAAGCCTCAGCAAGCGTTTGGCAACTGGCGAAGTTGAATGCGTTGATGGCTCGTCGTCGAAGCCAAGCTTTTCAGCGTAGTGTCTCGAATCTGTCTCACAACCCCGGGGATGGCGTTTGATCGCGTCCGATGCGATCAAGCGCGGGGCTGGGAGTGGCTGCACGGACCTGAATCTGCGACAAGATGCCGAAGCGAGGAACATCCGAAGAAGGTTCGGCTTGGCGCGTCGACATCGAGCAAAAATTCATCAAGATAGTTTTCGGCTACGGATGATAAGATCACGGATGATAATATCGAGGGGAGATATACCTGCGTACAGCAAATATATGAATTTCAACGTTCGAATGGAAACCATGGGAAAATAAAAGCTGAGGGCGTTTGCTAATCTCGAGTGGGTTGTATCTCTGGGCTTAACGCACGAACAGCATCATATGGCAATATGAGGATCATGAGTCCGCTGTTTTGGCCAAGAAACGGCAAGCGCTTCAAGCTTCGAAGTCTAACTTGGAACCCTGCAATGAAGCTCCGCGAAACATCTGATACAACGGTGCAACTGGACAAACATGATCATCTCATACGAGCTGATGTTGAACATCAGTGATTGGCAGTACGTACCACAAGCATGCTCGGATGATGCGTTGACAGCTTGGCACCATGGCCGGAAACGGACATCAACCCCATCTCGCGCACAGCAACATTGACGCTGGACACTTTGCTCGCAACATGCAAGCGCCAAAAGGCCCAAGAGCATCCCCTTGAAACAGCCTATCGCCTGTCGAACGTTTGGTGGAAGCACACGCCTACAGGGCTGCCACGGCGGTCCGTGGCAACTCGCAAGCGCTCGGAAGCTTCCGCCGCCGATGTCCCCCGGCGGACCGCGTGGCCTTGACCATCTTCTTGCACGGAGATGTTGTGGGAAGATTGCCAGAGCGCATTCTCACTGTCCACACACTGCTGGGACTCTGCCCGAATCTGCCGGCATTCACGCATTGCTCGCACGGCCTCTCTGCTTGCCTGGATCAGCACAAGTATTCTCGCCTCAGATCCCCACGAGCCCTGCCCTTGTCAGCTTCAGACAGACGGTACTCGCGTCAAGGGTTGCGGCGCACATTGACAGCCTCGAGTAGGCTCGCCAAGGCAGGAGGCTCTGGACTCGCCTCGTCCCAAGCTAGTTCTGCGGCATAAGCGATCATCCTCCTACTGTGTAGTGGGCTTGCCGTTTCTCCAGTCCAGACCACGATACGCTCGCCCTTGGCTTATGCTCCACTACTCCGTCACAGCTACGCGCCGGTATGATCACCATTACGGAGCGAGCTCAATGAGCCAAGTCCCTGGCTCGTGTCATCTGGTGTTGCGCCCATCATTCCCCACAGCTGTCACGATGAGGGTTTGGTATATAGCTTCAGCATCCAGCTGTCTCAGCTTGCACTTGCTCTTCCATTCTGCAAGTTGTTCGCTTTCACTCCCTTTGGTTCGGTCTTTTCAGTTCTGTGAACTTTCGTTTCGTTCTTGACACTCTTTCGGCTTGATCACCAATCCCGCAACCGCCAGGTCGGTTTTCGATTCTTGTTTCGACGTTCAACTTGCGTGATATCACTGCCCGCCTCGTTCTTCACCATGTACTCCAAGATTGCCGTTGTTGCCGCTCTCCTGGCCTTTGCCGAGGCCCGCTTCGGTCAGGAGGGCGCCGTCCAATCCATCATCTCTGCCCTCGGTAACTTTGGCAACGCTGGCCAGGCCGCCACCCTAGCTGGTGCCAGCCCTGGTGTCTTGCTCGCTGGCGCCAATGCTTGCGCCAAGGTAAGCACATCCAAAGGTCAACCTTGGTGCAAATGTTGACTCCCTTTTAGCTCGAGCTCGCCGATCAAATCGTCTCGACGCTCGGCAACGACCCCCAGGTCATTGCTGCCGCTGCCGCTCTGGTCGCGGCCGAGCAGAACTTCAACCCTTTCGCCGTCTCCATCCCCAAGCTGTGCTCGGATGCCAACCTCCCTGCAACTGCCGAGCTCCGCGGCATTGTTCCCCTTGTCGACCCTGCCGTTGGTGGCGCGGACGTTGAGAACGCCAACTCGGCTGCCTCTGTCGCCAATCCCTTCAACGCGGACGGCCTGAGTGTTGCCGAGGTCGCTGCCGCCAACGGCTTCACCAACTTCACCACTCAAGGTTCTGACGGCTCAACCGGTGCTGCCCCTGCCGGTGGGAACGCTGCTGGCGGGAACGCCGGAAACAACGGCGGCAACAATAACAACAACGCTGGTAACGGAAACGCTGGAGGCAACAACGCTGGTAACACGGCTACGGTCAGCTGCGGCGCCATCCGGACCCTGACCACCACCGTCGTCGCCGCCCCGACCGCAACCGAGGCGGCCGACAACGGCAATAACAACAATAACAACAACAACAACAACAACAATGCCGGCGGCAACGACAACAACAACAACAACAACAACAACAACGCCGGCAACAACAACAACAACAACAACAACAACAACAACAACAACAACAACAACAACAACAACTCCTCGCAACAATCCTCCATCGCGGGCCTCGACTTTGGCAGCTGCGTGCCAACCATGAAGTTCGTCGGCGGCCTCGGCGGGCGCCCGGCCACCGAGTTCACCTTCCAGGCCATCGACCCGCAGATCGCCGCCAACCAACAGGAGGCGCTCAACCCAAACATCATCACCAACCGCATCTGCGACGAGCTGACCAACATCTGCGACGCCAACCAGGCCGCCAAGGACGCCTGCGAGGACGCCCAGGCACAGATCCAGGCGCTGGGCACCCGGAATGCCCAGACCGCTGAGACGTGGAATGAGTTGTTGGGTTTCGCGGGCGTTGATGTTTCGCAGAAGTAAAAGGGGAGGCTGGGTGAGGGGTGGATGGTGACCTTACGGGGTAGGGATTTTGCAGGCGAAGTTGGGGTGACTGTTTGACGACGGGCAGGAAGGAGGTTTATGACGTGGTTGTGCTGGGGAAATGTCTGACTCGGAGTTCCGGTAATGAATTTGATTATGGCTAGTTACCTTATCCGAGAATAAGATGTTGTATCAGGGAGTGCTTTGATATTATCTACTGGGTTCAAGTCCTGAACTGCAGGATGCGTAGAGTATTCTTTGCCTCCAATTGCCATACTGACTTAAGTAGCCTTTTCTCTATCGTTGCGGACTCTGAAGGAATGTATAATACGTGAGCTGCGTCCTGACTTGGTTCGGAATTAAATCTGACTGCCGAGAACCTTGGGTCAAGCAGTTTAGGTAGGGTGCCGGATCTCGGTAGATGTGAAAGGTTACGAGAGCAATTACCTCCTTCCTCTCTCCTTAAGGATGAACCTAGTTTTGGTGACTACAACTACACGTATCGTACTGCTTATAGGGGACCTGCTAATGTCAACAGACAACTAGCGAACCTGGGTGGATTAGATTGTACTGGGGCAATGGGAGATCCGGTCCATTGTTGTTCTTTGGAGCCGGGAATGGAATGGCGTCATACACTCAAGGCCCGAGGAACTTGGTCTTGAGCTCCACCATGCTCGATTCCATGTATCTTATCACCGAGTCGTCTCTTCACATGAACACGACTTCCCGAATTATCACCGCTGGTTTTTTTCTGAGACTTCTAAGCTATCGTGGTAATACTTGAAACTATTGACACCAGGCCTGAGTCATCATCACCATGAAGGAAGCGCTCGTGAGCAAAGGTAAGCCCCCCATGCGGCTTTGCCTCCACCATTCATGCACGTACACAGCTAACAAACTTCCCAGGAACCCAAGTCCAGATCGTGGACTCTTCCATCCCAGCCATCAACGATGACCAGGTGCTCATCAAGGTCATTGTGTCGGGATCGAACCCCAAGGACTGGAAACTGCCCGACCTCCTTGGTGGCTCTACCAACCAAGGCGACGACATAGCCGGCATCGTCGAGAAGGTTGGCGCCAATGTCTTCGAGTTCAAGCCGGGCGACCGGGTCGCCGCCTTCCACGAGATGCGGACCCCGCACGGGAGCTACGCCGAGTACGCCGTCGCGTGGCAGCACACGACCTTCCACATCCCCAAATCCATCAGCTTCGAGGGTATGAACTTTAGCAACCCCTGCCCTCTCCTACTTACCAACCCCTCCCGTCGGTGTATCCTTTACCAGGCAGGGACTGCAGGGACTGCAGCCGCAAATAGAAAAGGCGGACGCTAACGAACGTTCAACCTCCCCAGAAGCGGCAGCCATCCCGCTCGCCGCCATGACCGCGGCCGTAGGCCTCTACCTCCGCCTCGGCCTTCCACAGCCCTGGTCCCCGCCAGCCTCAGCCTCAGAACCGATCCGCGGCCCGACACCCCTCCTCATCTACGGCGCGGCCTCGGCCGTAGGCATCTACACAGTGCAGCTCGCCCAGCGCAGCAACATCCACCCGCTCATTTGCGTGGCCGGGCGGGCGTGCGACTATGTCGAGGGGTTCATCGACCGCAGCAAGGGCGACGTCGTAGTCGACTACCGCCAGGGCGATGAGGCGCTCGTTGCCGGGATCGTCGAGGCGCTGGACGGGCAGCCGGCTCTGGCGCACGTGTTGGATGCTGTTTCGGAGGCCAGCAGCATCACCAACATTGCCGAGGTGCTTCGGCGCGTCGGGGCGAAGGACGATCTGAGCGGGGCCGTCAAGGGGAGGGCGACGTTTGTGCTGGGAGGGGAGAAGGAGGGTCTGCCGGACGGGGTGGAGAAGAGTATCACCATGGTCGGGAGCGTTCACAATGAGGCCAAGGACTTTGGGTATGTGTACTATAGGTACTTTGCGAAGGGGTTGCTGGAGGGTTGGTTTAAGCCGCAAAAGACCGAGGTGGTGCCTGGGGGGCTGGGTGGGATTCAGACGGCGCTCCAGAACCTCAAGGACGGGAAGGCCAGTGCGGTGAAGTACGTCTTCCGCATTGGTGAGACAGACGGGGTTGAGCGGTAGAGAGGAGCTTAGGTGGCCATAGCCAAATGAGGCCCCTTGGGATTGTATCTCAGGGATCTGGCGGAGTCAGCAATGCACTCCATCCGTCAGCCCCTGACAAAGCCAAGCTACAAGTGATCACCGTAAGATTCCCTGCCCGCAAACCTCGACTGTATCCATACATACCAATTATACAACCAAACGCCACGCAATGCACCCCTTCCGCTTAATCCCACATCTTGATCTCGCCCTTGGCCCCAGCCGTGAACACCTTGCTCGTCTCCTGCTCCGACCACGCGACGCAGTTGACGATCCCCCCGGCGCTATCGGCCGTGAGCTTGCTGTACAGCTTGCACGTTTTAAAGTCCCAGAAGCAGACGCTTCCGCCCGTGTCGCCCGAGGCAATGAACTGCCCGTCAGGGCTGCATGTAAGCCCGATGGCGCTGCCGGCCGTGTTGTGGCCACGCCAAGCCTTTTTGCGATGCTGGCGGAACTTGTCGGAGCCAGACGAGTAGGCCACGATGGAGTTGTCACTGCATTGGTAGAGGACGTACTTGCCGCTGGGATGCTGGGCGGACATTGTGAGGGCAAACATATCTGGTTCGCTGGAAGGAGGTTAGCCAAGTCACGCGGACGTTGCCAGAGTGTGAACGAACCTGATGGTCTTGATCTCGACCGGGATGCCATACTCCCATACCCTAAGGGAGCGGTCATCTGACGTCGACATGAACCGGCGGTTCTCGTCGATGAACTCGATCGTGTTGATGGCGCCCAGGTGGTGGTCGTACTCCTGCACCGTCTCGTTGCCCGCGCGGCTGTCGTACTGCAGGATTCTGTTGTCCGACAGACCTGCCAAGAACTCGTGCCCGTTCTCCGCCGAAGGGTTGAACTTGATAACATGCGGCGTCTTGCCACAGTTGAACCGGTTGACGCACTGGCCCGTCTCGGTATCCCACAGCCTAATCTTCCTGTCGAACCCGCCAGACAGGAACTTTGTCCCGTCATTGTTGAACGACAAGTCGGTAATCGCCTTGTTGTGCCCAGCAAACGTGCGCAGCAACTCCCGCTGTCGATAGACATCCCATATCTTGACCAAGCCATCCGCCGAACCCGACAGCCCCAAATGACTCGACTGCGGAAACAGCCGCAGCGACGTAATCGGTTTGTCGTGATACCGCCAGGTACGGAGGACTTTCTTCGGGATGAAGTTCGCAATGCTCCCAACCTCCTTCGTCAACGAAATATCCAAGTCCCTCGGGACATGCATATACGTCCTCCCCAGATAATCATACTGGCTCTCCCCGTGAAAGGTCGTCGTCTCCTCGCCCAGCTCCTCGACCTCCTTCCGCCTGGCAAGCGATGGCGCAGGCGCCTGCACGACCGTCCCGCTCGGTACGACCTCTTCCTCCCCCTCCTCTTCCTCCACAACCTCATACTCTTCATCACTCCCCAACTCCGCCTCCTCCTCCCCCTCACCCACCTCAACAACCTCGTACCGCTCCCGTTTATACCTCGCCCACGGCCCAACGTACGCCCCATCTCCGTCCGCGATCGTCGCATCCCCCTTGGCCTCCCTCTCGGCGCGCAGCCGCTTGTGCAACTCCTTTTGCTCGCGATTACTCATCCCCTCCCTCTGCGGCCCGCCGGCGCCCGCGCGCTCGACGGCGCGGTGCTTAGCGCGAAATGTGTGTTCCGAGATAAAAGTCTCTTCGGCGAGGCCCGTCAGGACATTTTTGCGTTTGAGCGACGAGGAGGTCGTCGACGACAAGGCTGTTGCTGAGTCATCGCGAAAAGGGTTAGCGGGCCCGAGGCGCGGGCGGGCGAGGTCGTCGCCTGTGTAGGGGACGACGGCGTGGTCGGCGGGTTGGACTTGGCGGACGATGAGGGCGTCTTGGACGGGGAGGTTTGGAGGATAGTCGCTGAAAGCGTCGGACATATTTGTATTGGCAAGTTCTGATGATGATGGGGCGACGGGGAATTGGCTGCAAGGTCTGGTTACCCTGACTGCGAGAGGCGACCCACGCGCTGGTCAGTTGCTTGGTTGGAGGCGGACTCCTTGGTAGGCTTCTGGCAGGTAGAAACGATAAGATAAATAAATAGAGATTCCAGGGTTGCTGCCTTGTTGGGGAGGGTGTGGTCGGCCTTGGCACGCCGCACGGACCATATGCGAACATACATGAGATTGACTACGTTTATGGAGTGTTTGCAGTGCAATGTTTCACCCTGATGACGGCTAGTACTCAAGTCTACGTGTTTCGAAGTTCAGAGTACAATACAATCACTGTCCTAAGGAGCCGGTACCCGGGATTACCGAGCATCGAAAACAAGTCAACACATCCCTCCGAGCACCAAATCTTCATGCATCTAACCCGCCCTAAAATACCATGCGCATTATGTGGACAGGGAGGTACTGAGTCTTGACCTGGAAACTCTCTCAGCCAACGCCACAGAACAAGCCGGCCCTCGACTTCGCCAATTCAGCAGAAACAGAAAGTAGAACCGCCGCGTTGAATAACCGTTGCGATACCGGACCCTCTGGTCAGCCTCCACATAGTGCACGCTCCTCCTATCCAGCTCACCACCCCAAACATGGGTATCAACCCCCTGTCCGGCGCAGTGCCTCCCACTACACAAGTCCCACCGTTGAATACTCATTACCCGCCATGTATTTCGCTCCCAATCGTGCAATTCGTATCAGTACTCGTGCCGCCATTATTGACATCACAGACCCCCGCCGCCGCCATGAACCATTCTATATAGCTCTCTGCCCAGACCAACGTTAATAAACTGTCCGCCCTCCTCCGTCGTGTTACATAGCGACTCTTGTTCAACAACGTCACGGCGCTACCAAGGAGATCGGGCCGACTGTTTCGTTCGAGAAGACGCCTAGTGAGCCTCGTCCTTGATGAGGGCAACGATCATGCTGTACAGGTAGAAGAAGAAGAGGACGAGATGGAAGCCGAGCTTGGTAAACGATTCCTGCGAAAGCCGCGCTGTTAGTCTGGATCTGTTTTCTCCGAGCTCGGGCCGAGTTGTCTGGATCCCCATACCTTCTTGTGCACGTTGAGCTTGCGGAAGATCTCAGTGGCGTCGAGGAGATGGGTGTTGTCGACAATCCTGCGCTCCAATTAGTGCTGCTCTTGGGCTCCTTGAGAGCGTGAGGTATCCAGGTGGTGCGCACTTCTTGACGTTCCATCCGAGCAGGGGCAGGTTCAAAAACAGAGGCACCCAGTATCCGTTGATAAGGAACAGGAAGGTCAGGAATCCGTGGACGGCGACTTCAGGGATGATGTACGTATTGAGGCGGTTGCAGAGGTCGATCGGGTTGATGTAGTCGCTATTCCAACACAACAAACAACACGCGTTAGCATTTCCATGTCCGTCCGAGAGCACTCAGGCAGCACAACCGGAGGTGGCAGAGGCGGAGGCGGCAGAGCCAACGCGAGGCAAGGTTGCGCGGGCAGTGTCCCGGCCTCCAGCCCCACTCCCGGGTGTTAAAGTACTGCCTGCGGTGGACGCCGGGGGCTCCGTACCATTCCAAGTCGCTGTACATGATGGTGAAGAAGACTTGGAGAAACAGGTTGACCGCATTGATAATGACGGCGAAAAGGTATAGCCACGCCTCTCCCGACATGTTTGCGACTCTCAGACAGAGAACAGCAAGGTAGTAAGTTCGATTTCGACCGCTCGTGATACGTATGGGGAAGGCTCAGGGCGAGCCAGCGACGCAAAATGCTCAACGTGCGATGACGACTTCGGATGTTGCTATCTCGATTACGGCGGAGCTAGGGCGACAAGGTCATGAGTTGCACTCGCTTGACTCGATGGAAGCAAAGACAGGCGAAAGGCGTGGTGAGGGAAGCGGCAATAGTTTCCGTCCGTTTGTGCGCGATGGAAAGCGGATGAGGCGAACAAAGTTGACACACGTGGAGAGAGGCTGTGGATAGGATTCTTAGAGTGGTTGGTTGGTGTTCGTCGACCAAGCTCGAGGGATGGAAGTGGGGCGCAAGCATCACCGCCTGGTAACTTTTTGCATTGGGTGGTCCAAGCTTCTCCGTTGACGGCGCCGACTCTGCCGAGCTCTTGGTGAGGGCCAGCAGAGAAACTGTAACAGATGTGATCTTCTAATCGAACTTAACCTCACTTATTCCGTTTTCGTAGCTCGATAGGCGCAAGATACGCTAGGGTTGAGGTGAGCTGGTTTGTTTACGGATCATTCTTCCATCGTCAAGAAACCTGGATTGGCCAGCACCAATGCATGTGAATATCGCCCTTTCTTGCAGAGGAACGCACCACGGGGAATCATCGACATTAATTTGCGGCACCAAAGTTGTCCCATCAAGACTGCTTGCTACTATGTCAAGTCACTGCTGGGGGTATCACGCAACTGGCACACCTGATAATGCCGCAGCAAACTCTAAACTGCTATTGACTTCCAACCTATTTGGTGCCGTTGACGGTCTCACTAGGCATGGGGAGCGGCCCTCCAGGGGAGTCTGCTTTTCGGGCCGTCAAGATCTCCACGCCCGTTTCCGTCACCAGGAGGGTGTGCTCTAGAGGAACGTCAGGGACTAGTCTTAGCATCGATCGCCGAGTTCACTCACCAAACTGAGCCGTCTTCTTTCCGTCGATCGTCGTGCTCGTCCAGTTATCCGGCCAGGTCACGTCCCTGTGCTTGCCCAGCGCGATCATGGGCTCAATGGTGAAGGTCATGCCCGGCTTGCACTCGCCTACCGCCTTGTTCTTGGCGTAGTGCGGAATGTTGGGCGGGCAGTGGAAGACGCTGTTGATGCCGTGGCCGACGTAGGTGCGGATGACGCTGCAGTTCCTCGACTTGGCGTGCGCCTCAATCACGTTGCCAAACTCGCGGAATAACGTGCCGGGCTTGACCAACTTGATGGCCTCCTCCAGGCATTCACGCGCCGTCTCGACGACGCGGACCGTGTCCGGATCGGCCCTGGCCCGGTCGCCGACGTAGTATGTCTCGTTGAGGTCGCCGTGGTAACCCTCGTGGTACAGCGTGACGTCGAGATTGACAATGTCGCCGTCTAGTAAGACACGCCGGTCGGGTATCCCGTGGCAAATGACCTCGTTGACAGAGGTGCACACCGACTTCGGGAAGTGGTTGTAGTTTAGCGGTGACGGGTAGGACTGGTAGCCGTTAGTTCCTCACACACTCAGCGCCAATACCAAGACGTCCCGGGGCGCCTCACATTCCGCTCAATGCAAGCCTTGTGCACAATTTCGTCAATCTCATCCGTGGTGATGCCTGGCCGGATGGCGGCGGCTGCGATGTCCAAAACCTCTCTCGCCAACCGGCAAACCTTGCGCATGCCCTCCTGGCCCTTCGCATCCAGCTGCTGGATTTTGTTGGTCCTGACGAGCGACCTGCCGAGCTTGGGAATGCCATCTTCGGCGTAGTCCGGATGTGGTATCGACTTGGGCACCTCGCGCTTGGGGGAGAGTGGGTAAACTGGCCGCAGGGGTCCGGTGAAATGGAAGGTCGGGAAAGGGTTATAGTAGCCGGTTTCTGGATCTGGTTCAGACACGACCTTGGGAGGGAAGAAGTGGTTTAAAATACTGTTCTCTTGCTTGTGGATGTTCTTGTGCGTAGCCTGCAGGCGTAACATGCAGTCAGCAGACACGTCTTGCGTGGTCCTGCGTGGGCCGGTTGGAACGCCCGAGGGGCAGCCGCTGGGTCAGGGCCATACCCAGTTCTTCTTGAAGCAATCCTGGGAGCAGAAGTAGCTGTCCTTGATGCCTAGACTGAGGCACTTGGGGCACTGCAGAGAGCTGGCATCGTTTTCGCAGTCGGCGCCGAGGCAGTTTCTCTTCGTGGGTGGTTCCTCGGCCATGTTTTCGGGGAGCAGGGGTCGAAGGAGGGGCAATGGGAGAACGCCTGAAAGTTCGGTGCTGCTAAGCGGCGGTACTCGGCAAGATTTGAGCTAAAAGTTACCCTGCAGGCGAAGGTAAATTGGTTTGTCGGATTCTAAAAACCCGAAACCAACGGCAGACTTGGAAGAAGGGAGCAGGTTGGCTGTATGAGGGTGCTGGATATTGTTGGACTTGCGACGGCCGGTGTGGCGCTGAAACCGAAGTTCAAAGTTGATCAGAAAAGCCAGAAGGTGTGGCTACTGCGTGCCAAGACTGCATGCCAAGCAGGGATCCTCCTGAGCGCGGCCCGGATGACAAGGGGGCCGAACATACATTGGCCTCTAAACTTCGAGTCATCTTATTCTTTTCATATCTTAACATTGTTTATTACTTATTTACGATGGGGCTGAAGCAAAAGATTCTAGTGGTTGGTGCCGGGCCGGTGGGATCCCTTGCGGCACTGTATGCTGCCAGCCGAGGTGATAAAGTGGAAATCTACGAGCTTCGAAGTGGTGAGTCTTTTGCTCTCGTCCCGGCCCTCCCGAGTCCACTGCAGTGCAGTGTCTGTATCACCACTTTTGCTTGCTGGCCAATTCATGAATCCGTGTTCACGAGCTATGGCCAGATCTGCGGGACCCCTCAACAACACCACTCAATTTCACCCGATCCATCAACTTGGCCCTCTCGGAGCGTGGCATCAATGCTATGCGTCATGCCGGCCACCAGAAGCTCATTGACCATGTCATGGGGGCTACCATCCCAATGCGAGGCCGCATGATCCATGGAAAACGAGCAGACGGGAGTCTTTATGAGGAACCGCAAGACTACGACGCACACGGACGGGTATTCACCAGTTCTTCCACTTCTCCCATCAAACAACAACTGACGTGACAGTGTATCCTCGCCATTGACCGCGGCGGGCTCAACAAACGTCTCCTCGACATTTTGGATGAAATGCCGAATGTCACGTTCTTCTTTAACCATAAGCTCACAGGGGCCGATTTTAAGAATAACAAAGCTTGGTTCGAAGTCCGGGAAAACGGAAGCGTCAGTCAGGGGCAGCGACCTCGGGAAATCGAGGTTGACTTTGACTTTATGATCGGCGCTGATGGCGCCCACTCAGCAGTCCGGTACCACATGATGAAGTACACACGCATGGACTACCAGCAAATGTACATCGATACCCTGTGGTGCGAATTTCAGATTCCGCCCAAGACGATAGACCCCGATGCGAGTTTGGGTTCCAAGTTCTCGATATCCCCCAACTATCTGCACATCTGGCCCGCTAAGGAGTTCATGTTCATTGCCATTCCAAGCGAGGTATGTTGAACCCCCCTTTTTCTTCGCACCTCTTCCAAGCTAACCGCCCACAGGACGGTTCCTTCACCTGCACCCTCTTCGCCCCAGCTGTCGTGTACGAGCACCTCGAGTTCGACCCGGCCGGCTCGCTCATCCCGCGCTTCTTCGACAAGCACTTCCCCGGCGTGACGGCCCTAATCCCGCCCGCGGACCTGATCACCCAGTTCCACCGCAACCCGCACCTCCCGCTCATCAGCATCAAGTGCTCCCCGCACCACTACGGCTCGTCGGCAGTCATCCTCGGCGACGCCGCCCACGCTATGGTGCCCTTCTACGGCCAGGGCATGAACGCGGGGCTTGAGGACGTACGCATCCTGTTCGACATCCTCGACAAGCACGCCATCCTCGATGAAATGAGCTCCGGCGTAGACCGCGCCGCGTCGCGCGCCAGGGCGCTGGCCGAGTACACGGCCGTGCGGATTCCCGACGCGCATGCCATCAATGACCTGGCGCTGCAGAACTATGTCGAGATGAGGGCGTCGGTGCTGAGCCCGCTGTACCGGCTGCGCAAGTTCCTTGAGGAGTCGCTGTCCAAGTATGTGCCGTCGCTCGGATGGCAGACCAAGTATGCGCGCGTGTCGTTTGGGAATGAGCGGTACTCTGAGGTTGTCGCCAAGAGCGAGCACCAGGGCAGGATGTTGGTGCGTGGGATGGCAGGGCTGGTTGGGGTGCCGCTCCTCGCGGGCGGGATCGTGCTGGTGCTGCGGTACAAGAAAGCTTTGGGTGTTGGGCTGAGTGCAGCGTTTGGATCGGTGGATTCCATGGTCGAGCTCATGGCCATGAAGGTGTGATGGTGGAGCGAGAGAGATCTATTTCTTGGTTATCAGGAGCGGTGGCAGTGTCTGTATATTTGGATGTCTGGCTGCATATTCATATTTGGGAACCAAATGAAAGGTGGACCTTGACATTGAGCCACTTCTGTGGGCAGAGGATAACGGGGACTGCTCCGACCATGAGGATTGGCACCACGAGATCAGGGCACAGTGCCATTGTCGCTGTTCAGAGTCCTACTTCACAGTGACTTGAAAAGCAACCGCGTCATCAAATTGATAGCCGTAGTCCAGACTGAGACAAGAGCAAATATCTGTCTACTCGTCACCTAAGAACCAACTCCAACTTGTCGTTTCAGAGCTGTGACGGCATATGAATCCTTCAACCTGAAACAGTACACAATGTTGCGGGATCAAAGTCCCATATCAAACCAGCGAAATAACGTCCTTTTTGTTCCCAATCTCAGCGTTGCTGAGGTCGGCCGGCTTCAAGTAGCACACGTCCGTCGAGGTCTCCCAGTACCAGCACCGCTAGGGCGAGCCCGATTGGACTTGGTCCATTGATCACATATACTACGTAATGATGTTAGTCTCTTATTGTTGAAATCATAAGGCGTATACGATCGTTAGCAGGGCAGTCCAATACTCGATAGCGTACTCGATCAGATAGTCAGCTTCGTTGTCATTTTTTTTTGCTTAGGTACCAAAAGCCGTTCGAGTTAGGGCAGAGCTGCGCGGCAGCGGAGCCGACCCCCCAAAGAGCAATGACAGAGAGGCGCATTTCAGGGGCTGTCCGGAGATGGCGAGTGCGGTAGGAGGAAACTTGCAGTGGCCCAGTGGGCTGCTTGGGGCGATGAGCTTGGAGATATTCGAGACGGAAGTTGAGACGTATCCGTAATCCTTAACGATACGCTGCAAAGTTAGTCAAAACGATCCTCCTCGACACTCCATATAGTTAGTTAAGTGAGTTAACCTTAACGTACAGATAAGCGAGCCGGCCCCTTTTCCGCCACAACGCGTATCTTCTATATTCAACACCAGAGCTTTCCACGAATAAACATAACTCCCTTCGTACGAAGCTAGAGTGATTTCAGTACGTCAAGCTGTTCGGAACGATTAGAAACTGAGTGTAAGAGCTGCAGCGAAGCTCTACGACTTTCGACGTACGGCCTTAAAAGACCGACTTGCTGGCCGGCCTGCACGACGCGATATTCCAGCCAACCCTGTCGGCAAACGCTGGGCTTACAACTTCGTTAAACGCCAGCCACAATTCTATACGCGTTTTACGAAAAGATTCGACTACCAGAGGGCTAAGTGCGAAGATCCATAAGTATTGGCGACTTGTTTGCGCTTGTATAGAACATCAAAGCCAAGTACGTTATCCAAGATGGCGATGTCTACAACTTCGACGAGACTAGGTTTATAACGGATATTATCTTCGTAGGTGTGGTGGTCACGACCCCGGACGGCCTCAGCAAGGTTAAAATTAGCTTAGCCTGGCAACCGCGAATCGGCAACGGTGATCCAGGGAGTCAATGCCCTCAGCTGGGCCATCCCTCCATTTATCATCTTGGCCGCGCAGTACTACCTCGCCAACTGGTCCACCGAGTGCAACCTCCCAGCCGACTGGCGCATTACAACTACCGACAATGGCTGGACTACCAATGCGGTAGGCCTAAATTGGATCAAGCACTCGACTACCACACAGCGCCCTGTACAAAGGGCAAATGCCGGTTGTTGATCCTCGACGGCCAGGAAAGCCACCACTCGAACGAATTCGAGCTTCACTGCCAGCAGAACAATATCATTCCACTCTGCATATCTCCACATTCTTCCCACAAGCTCCAGCCACTCGATGCTGGCTGCTTTGGGCCGCTGAAGCAGGCGTACGGTCGCCAGATTGAGGGCTTAATGCGCGTGTATATCAACCACGTGAGCAAGCTCGAGTTCCTCTATGCCTTCCGGAGGCCTTCTTCGCCACTATGACGGAGAAGATTCAACAGGGTGGCTTTGCAGGTGCTGGCTTTGTACCGTACAATCCAGAGAGGGTGCTTTCCATGTTGGATATAAAGCTTCGTACCCCAACACCCCCGACCTCGCCACCCAGCACTGCACAACCCTGGGTCTTCCAGACACTACATGACCCCCGAGAAGCCGATTCGCAGTACACTTATCAAAACCCGCAGTACCAACCATCAGAATAGCTCCCCGACGTCAATATTGGCTGCTGTGGACCAGCTTACTAAGGGTACGATGGCTGTGATGCACGAGGTGGCTCTCCTTCGTGCAGAGAACGCTTTACTTCGCAAGGCCAACGAGCATTAAGCAAGCGCCGGAGAGCTACAAAAACACGTGTGCAGCTCGGAGGATCACTTACTGTCAAGATGCGAAGAGTCTACTGGACCAGAAGGCCGTGGGTGGGGAAGAAGTTCAAGAAACGCAGCTGGATCGTGCTAGTGCAGGGGGAGCTCGTACGAAAGTTCGGTGCTGTGGTGTATGCGGCAAGCCCGTCCTTAATGCACGTACGTGCCGGGAGGCCGTACAATCATCTGACTCAGCTGTTTCTGATGTAATTATAGTTGGTCCCTAGTGTTGATGTATTACAATTGAAGATGGTTGTTGTTGGGTGGTGGAAGAGTGGCCGGCTCGTTTATCATATAACGTAACGTTACGTTAGTTAACTTAATAGTTTTAATTATTTTTTATGGTTTTAGAAGAGAAGCACTGGGCAATGCAAACGTTGTTTAAAAAGCAAAACGCTCTCTCTGAACTTACGATGGAAACCACCACCCCATCATGTTCAGCTCCGTGTTGTGCTCGGTCCGCAACTCCCGCTTCTGGCGTTCCATTGGGCAGACTTCGAACCGCCCGTCGTCTGGGTCTGTCACATTGATCATCTCCACTTCGAACCGCGCGTCGTCTGGGTCTGTCACATTGATTATCTCGATGAATTCGGACTCACATTCCCAGTATTCGTCAATGGCGTTTTGTTTGCATCTGCGGCGGCGCTCGTCCTTGGTCTCTGCCTCCCACTGGACGCGATCACGGGAGTGAGTCTTGACAATGACCCAAGTAATCACGTCGCGGGCCTCGGCGGAGAAGGTGACCGGTGCCGTTGTGCCGTGCTCTCCAGATCCGAAAGGCTTGAAGCAGTTCTTTCGAGGCTGCAGGCCGGTCTGGTGTGGCGCTACGGGGGTCCTTGTATCCTCCCGAAGACATGAGCGAGGCGAGGGGCAAAGGGCGGGGGGGGATTACCCGTGGACGAGAAGTTCTACTCCCCATCACAAGTTGTTGTTGTTGTTGTTGTCAATCAGCATCCCAAGGAGCGGCATTACTACTACTACCTTATATACCTAGTAATATGTAGGGACATGCCGTGCCAGGCCTTACATACAAGATACTAAGATATCCTAGATCGCCAGTACAGCAACTAGAGCCTCATCGGGCATCTTCAGCAACGCTTTTAACTACCCACAAGCTACCACCCCTCTACCATCATTTGTAAAGGGTCCGTAGGCACTCCTACCCTCACAGATTCTTACCATCATCCTCCGAGGTTATCCCACAACCATACATCCGTAAGCATAGCGCTTCATAGCGCTCTTGAAGGCCGGCGATCGGCCGGAGAACTACCTAGCGTGCTAGGTGTGATGGAAAGGCACCCTAGACTCATACTCTCTTCGGTGGGTCATGGGTGAGTCGTCTGTACGCACTTTTGCCTTTCTCGCGTCGCAAACGCGCATCCTGTATACTCTTCGTCTTCCTTTCCTTAGCTTTCTGTGAGAGACGAGTAGCATTGAGGCGAGGCACGTAGGCACTGCAACTGTTGACTCAGCATTGACTCAGCATTGCTAATCTCAAGATGGGGAGAGAAGGAAGAGAAGCTGAAAGAGCTCTCGCGATGCAGAAGTTGTTGGGCAGCCAACAGTTACATGCTCAAGTAAGCTTAGATCAACCAAATGGTATTGAACAGATTGAGGTATGAAACGAAGCTTGAATTGGAGTCACGATTCCAGAGTGACCACACAAAATGAAGGATCAAGATAGTGGGTTTGGGTGCCTCAGAATGTCCCTTTCTTGTTGGAACAGAAAATTGTCCTCTCTAATCCTCCCAGGGGAATTACCCCCTTATATAGAGACATTGTGCCATGATATGACGCTATGTCAGGAACTGTGTCATTGTGATGGATCTGTGCTGACTGAGAGTCTCGCATTGAACATCAGTGCTCAGTCCGTGAATCTGGGTGCCAAGGAACCCACTCAGTTCAACAGAAGTCAAATGCCAGGGCCGGTGGGGCACGTAGGCACTCAGTGGCAGGTGCCGCCACGTACACTCCGACGGCAGGCGCGGTCACACTTTCGATTAGCAGAATAGAGTCGGCGTTTGCAGTGGCCCAGTGCCTCGACTTGATGGCACTTGTCTCTCACATTAGGCTAGAACCTGGTCGAAGAGGGTATTTACACGCAGCGGCGAGTACTAGCTCCTAGGCTGCATAGGAGAACCCGGTTCGTCTAGCGTATCTTCTCCAATTATATGTATAATGTGTAGGTAGGTGGATGGGCGCGCTAGGATCGCGCCGTCAAGTAAGTAGAGGAGGGCCGTTGTCTCCCCAATCCCCCACCCTGCTTGCCTTAAATTGGTCGGGGAGGTCCTCGTTTGGGATAGGGATGAGTAATAGGGGCTGGTGTTGAGAGGGAGGGCGACTATTTTTTTTATAGTGGATAAGGCACTATCAAGCCCAACTCCCTAACAAGGTAGGACCTACAGCACTTGGTTAACAGCTGTGACGGTGGCGCCGTCCGTCGAGGTGCGCGCTTGCCTTGCTCGCACGTGCCCCACTTGCTTTGGCATTTTTTCCCTGCATCGTGAGAGCTCTTCCAGTTTCTCCTCCTTTTCTCCCCAGCTTGTGATTTTACACAATCGAGAGGTCTTTCCACAGCCTTGCCTCGGTCAATGGCCCTCTGCTCGTGACAACAGTCATAGGGATGGAAAAGTTTCTCGAGGGAGAGTTAACCTATCGCAAGTCGAGGCGCTCTTGGCGCGAGAGTCGGACAAGACAACAGTCCATTGTAGCAATGTTTCTACTTTCTAGGGAAGAAAGAAAAAGAGAGAAAGGATATAAAAGGTCGGGGAGCTAGACCGTATTCTATGCAACCGCACAGACACCAAGGATTACTCTTTTGACAACAAGTACACTCCATCAGACCGTTCTGAGCCATTCTAGTTGAAAGTGGGCTATCTCGGGGTCCATGCGGCCGCACTGACAGGCCTAGACCCGTTGATGGCCTGGCCTGATCCCGACGGGAGTGTATCCGAAAGAAGAGCCTGGAACCTTCTGGCCAAGATCATTTTCCAGGTTGGCAAGAGTATGAGGCATCTCGAAGTGGATTTGAGGTGGTAAAGTGACACCTTAAAGGTACAGCATTCCACCGAGAGGTATGATTGACAATGCAACGGGACCAACAGGCCAGATAAATCAGGGGGACATTCAAAGTTTGAAACGTCCGACCTTGCTCGGAATATGGGCAATGCCTGGCATAAGCAGATGTTGCCGAGACATCCAATGTGATTGACCTCGGAACCTCGGTTGGGCCACAGGCACGGCAGAAGCCGCCATAACCAAGCAGCTACGTGTGAGTGACGGAATAAAAGGATCCGCGGGGAGCAGGGAACCATCCCTTCTAAAGCGCGTGTTCCCTCAAACAATCCATTTATCAGTTCAGAGTCACACCCTTATTACCGTATGAATAGGATTGTTTCGGCACGAACGATTCCGAAAATCCTTCTGTTATTCGCGAGTTTTGCCGGCTGCTTTCTCTTGAAAACTCCGTCGTGATTTTCGATCTGTTCGCGTGTCGTTGAATCAAGCCTTAAGGAGTGGGGCAACCAGGGTCTTGGCGTCTGGACCCTTGTGGGACGCCTGGCGAGGCAGGCATCCCGAGTGTGGGAGTCTCGGCTTGTTCCCCTCAGCTCCTGAACATCCAACATGCTCATCGTTCATCTTCCCCGGCGAGCCCGGTAATTGGGCTCAGGTACAATCGCTTAACGGAGAATACGGCCAAGACGATGGGGATGAAAAAGATGACGGGATGAGGAGGAAGACAGAGACCAGATCAATCAGCTTCAGCTTTCAAGCCGTTCATGCAAAGTAATCGCCCTACTCCACCATATCATGGCCTCGCCGACCGGGCCCACAAATCCTCATCGCAACTGGCAGCGGATGGGAGACTTGCCGCTGAGTATCCTCTTCAGCAGCTTTCGCGACCTTGCCAGCCTGCATCGCGCCACAACTCTTATTCAAGATGCTCGATTGCAGTGTTCGGACTCCGGAAAGTTAAAAACGCACATCTGGCTCCGGCACTCACCTGTGAACATCAATGCTCCTGTTAGCCAAAGCCTCGAGACCAAAAGGGCTGGGGCGCATTTTGGATCAGGTCGGACGTACGTGCATCAGAATCGAGATGGGAATTGAGTCCCGCGAGAGTCGGGCATATTTAATGGCTGAATAAACACTGGTAGGCCTTACCGTTCTATGCTGTTTAAGAGGCAGTGCACTTCTTGCCGGCTGCGCTTCCTCTGTCTCCGGAAATCGACATCCGAGAGATGTAACGGTCCCAGGAGTATATTGCAACTAGCTGGTAACGACTCTACGAGTTTGTCTCGAATGGAGAGAAAAGAAGAAAAAGAGTAAAAGACATGCAAGATACATGCCATCTTATACCTCCACATTCTTAGCCTGTGCGCTGATATCGAACAAGATAGAAGTCCACCGAACCTCGAGTGTTGGCCGAGAGTTTGCCGAGGCCTTCACGGGCCCAGCCCGTTACAAGAGATCCTGTTGTCAGAATTCTTTGGATCTGACGAGCTGGTGCAACATATCTTGATTCATGCTGGCCGCCCCGGAGCAGTATCCTTCTTTCGACTCATCGGACGATTGGGGATATTTGACGGTGTGGTCGCTGTGAGCGTTCGAGTCCAGATGCCAAAAATGTCAGCACAGAAAGAACGGGCGTGACAGCATTGGCAAAACCCCATAAACTACGCTGTTGAAGCCCCTTCATGTTCGAAAGGCTGCAGTTGTGGTCCGTCCAGTAAAATGATACTCGACCTCACTATCAGAGCACTTGCCGTCGTAGAAGAAGACCTTGCTGCAAACGGCACAGTGCGAGCCCTCCTAGCTGCTCTCACTTTCGGTGGAACCGTACTCAAAAATGTCGTCGTTGCCGGAAGTTATAGTGGTCTTTGTGCTCCATTTGTTGCAAGAGCGCCCCGTATAGAATTATTTGCCGCAAGTTCACACTCGTACTCAGCGCAATGGGGAGCGATGATGCGAGAATCTAGGAAGCTAGTATGGTCCGAGAATGGTATCGAAAGGGAGAGCAGCCGGCAAAATTGCCTGACTCGATGAATATACGTAGTTACTGTGTCTGACTTTTCCGTCTTGAGAAGGCGGATGATTTTGTGACTAGTGAGTTCAAAAAAGTTGGCGAGTGAAGATCGAAGTTTTGGCAGATGAAGGCTTGAAATATTCAATGGCAGACAGAAGGCAGTCATATTTCGAAAAGGAAAGCACCTGAACCCGGCTCGAGTCGGTTACTGTGAAGATTCCTGGAAGGCGCAAGGTAGCGGGAGAGCGAGTCTCTCCAATGTCTCCGTTTATTGATGCGAGCCCCAAGCTCTGATGGCAATGTCGAGTCGTGGGTCTGCAGTGAGAACAGGTTGCTGGTGGCAGGGTCTCTTCAATTCTGGGTGTTATCAGGTATTCGCACTGAACTGTCCTGTCACCGCGACTGCTTTTCGGGCTTGACTTGCCATAATCTTGATCGGTCCAGGTACGCCAAATTCAATATTGCTGGAGTGAAGGTTGGAAGTACTGCCGGAACTGGGTAAAAGCACGCATGATTGACTAACTAACATCTATCTCTACACATGCCTATAGCGCTCACAGTCAAACGAAACGCCGATCTCCCGTGATCTGGATCCGAAATAAAGCCCCAGCTGCTGACCGAGGCCGAAGATCGCGCGTCTAGCCTCAAACAACGCTGGTCCAAGAGCTGTGATACAAGATTTTATCCGACACATGGTCCACAAATCCTCCAACAACTCAAGATATCCCAGTCGCAGCCATAACGCTAGAAGCGGAGCATGCGATTGCCGCTGACGATGTCCCCGATCCGTCGCTGGACAGTCTCGAAGCGCATGGCGCCGCACGTCTCGCTCTCGAGGTGGTTGACGATAGCAGCCAACGTCTTGAACTCGACACCGCAGCGCTGGTTCGGGCAATGATACAGGACTTCCTGGTCTAGACAAAGTGCTTTGTGAGCTCGAGTTCTGTGATGACGGCAGAACGCAGCAAAGTTAGGAACTGCACCTACGGACTGGGGAATTGAGGTGTTGGTTCAGGCCACTGAGACTGGCGAAAGTGCGGTAGCAGAAGGAGCACTCGTAGCCTCGGCCGTTCCACGAACGCCGATCGGCTGTGTAGGTGACGGTGATGGGTTCGATGGAATGATTCGAGATGAGACCTCGGGGGTCCCGCGACCGCACCAGTCGGAAGAGCTCGCGACGGTCCAGATTGGCCGCGCAAGGGCACGAGCCGCGCTCAAGATGATGAGTCATGCCGCCAGCGGTGGTGTAGCTCGCAGCACAGAAGGGGCACTTGATGGTACTGCCGCGATGAGTCTTGGAGTTGAGGTGCTGCAGAGTTATAGACAAGTCAGCCTAACTGAGTATGCGGACCGAACGCAAGATCACCGCGTCAAAGATTCAATAGGACCTACCTGCTTGATGTTGTTAAAGTTCTGGAAATACCGATCGCAATCGCAGCAGTAAAGATGATCCTGGATCATGTGCTGACGGCGAGAGTACTCGCTGTCAAAGTAGGCGTCGCAAATGTCGCACTCGTATTCGGGGCGACTATGCCCTGTCGCTTCGCAATGCTGGTCGCGAGCCCGCCAGCCAGCAGGGAAGGCCCTGCCGCAATCGCCGCACTCGAACATGGTGCCGATACAGCAACGGTGACAAGGAGGCGAGTCTGTAAGGGCTGCAACTTTGTTCTAGGTCGCGCGATCGTGCGAGAGAGGTGAAAGCGCGGCAAGTGTAAATATTGCCTGGTTCAATAACAAAGAATAAGGGATTACTTGATTGAGGAAATTGGGTGAAGTCGGTGCAGAACTCAGAACACGGAAATGGTCAGTGCAGCGGACAACCAGGAAGGAATTGAGAACTGCGGGCGGGACTGAGCATTGAGACGACGACGGGGGGCACCTGTAGCAGGCTAGTTAAGATCGAAGATATGCAGGAGAAGGTGTGACCAGGCCACGTGCCTATCCGGCTTTGAAAACCAAACTGTCCGTTTGTTTGTTGTATTAGGGCTTGCCGGTCTCGATAGGGAGACGTGAGGGAACCACGATGTGATCAAGAGCTGCAACAATAATAAAAGCCTTAGAAAATCACTCCTGCTCAATACAGTGGGGGCCCAAAAGTATCCGAGCACCCCGCATTTCCTGACGTCCCACATTTTAATCGTCCCTCCTTATCCAACAATAACTTCACACAACCAAATCACAGCGCAAACTGATAGTATCTGAGTGATGGCCAAGTGCAGGGCTTTAATATTTTGTGTACCAGCCCCTAGCCTTCTTCACGGCGACCAAGCGGCGTGGCATGCCGTCGATCAGCTTGTCAATCCAATCCTGTTCTGTAACGGGCTGAGCCCGTAAAGGCCTCGGCAAACTCTCAGCCAAGACTCAAGATTCGGTGGACTTCTAACTTATTCGATATCGGCGCATAGGCCAAGGATGTGGAGGTATTAGACGGCAGATATCTTGCATAGTCTTTCACTCTTTCTCTTCTTCTCTCTCCATTCGAGACAAACTCGTAGAGTCGTCACCAGCTAGTTGCAATATACTCCTGGGATCGTTACATTTTGTCTCGAATCCTTCTATCAAGTCTCCCGATCGGTCCGTCGGAATAGAAGCGCTTTCTCCGCGATGTCGACTATCCCCCAGTTACGTCAAGTGCTCCCGGACGTAGAGCTCCTCCAAGGGACTGAGGATCTCGACGAGTGGCTTGTCTCGATGCGTGCGAAGATGCATGTCGATGGAGCGGCGATTGGAGACGAGTTTGCGCGTTTCCACTATGTCTACTCACGCCTCGCACCCGGTCCGAAGCGGACGATGCTTCCGTACGTCAAGAGGGCACAAGAAGCTAACGCTTGTGTCGCCGAAGCCTTCGTCGCGTACGTGCAGAGCACCTTCGAGGATCCGAATAAGGTTAAGAAAGCTAGACAACGCTTGACCAAAATACGCCAAGGGAAGAGATCGATTGCGGCGTATATCCCCGAGTTCGAACGCAAGCTTTTCGAAGCCCAAGCAGACAAGTGGCCAGATGATGCTCGCATTATTCTACTCGTTGCTAGTCTGAACCGGGACACCCAAGACCGACTCGAGGGAAAGGACTGGCCAGAGACCTACCCGCAGTTCACGGCCTTCCTCCGGCGTCAGGAGAGTGCGTTTGTTAGCGCCTCCCAAACTGCTAGCACAGCGGCAGATCGACAATCCGACGACGATCCGATGGATGTGGATATCAACCGCGTACGAGTGCCTGTGAAGAAAACCCGCCTATCAAAGGACCAGTGCGCTCGTTGTGGGAAAAAGGGGCATTGGGCAAAAGACTGCAAGATGCCCAAGCAAGTCAAGCCTAACGACACACCTACCGGACGTCCCGTTGGCGTCAAGACAGCTCAGACCTTGAGCAGCCGGAATTATCAACACTGGGGAGAGCAGTCGGATAGTGACGATGAAGATGACGAGGAGTGGCCGGGGGATATATGAGGTTATACAACGCGACTGTTCCCTCAACCTTCTAGGCACAGCCAGGCACCTGGAGGCAGGACATCTCGAAGCTGAATTCGGGACCGGCTAGGAGCGCTAGTATGCGCGCGAGATCATCTGTGCAGTGGCCAGGGTTCGTGGGATACGAAGAGTGCCTGCGCGGTGTACCCATATGCCTGGGTCTATCTACGGGTTCGAACCCCGGGTAGGCGGGATATGGTGGCTCCCTAGTTGTTGGAGGTCTGGCGACTCGCTGGGAAAGGTCTCCAGGAGGGGGTTTGTGTCTATGGAGGGGGGTAAAATGTAACGGTCCCAGGAGTATATTGCAACTAGCTGGTGACAACTCTACGAGTTTGTCTCGAATGGAGGGAGAAGAAGAAAAAGAGTGAAAGACTATGCAAGATATCTGCCGTCTAATACCTCCACATCCTTGGGCTGTGCGCCGATATCGAATAAGTGTTGGAAAGTCGTGGCACTGGAACTTCGGACGCTCAGCTGCAAGTGCCCTGCTGTTGGATGCATGGCTGCCCAACTGAGCGTCAGGCAACGTGAGGGGTAACCAGGGCGCTGGGTAACGAGGTCAGGGCGATTCCCCCTTCGCTGGAGACGTGAGAGAAGAACAACCTTCAATCAAGAACATCTGGGAGGCTCCAAGCATCTCAAATCTGACTGTTGTAAGCTCCCATCATCTGTGTGATCACCGTGGAATCGTGGCTGTTGACTTTCCAACAATAAGATAGAAGTCCACCGAATCTCGAGTGTTGGCCGAGAGTTTGCCGAGGCCTTTACGGGCTCAGCCCGTTACATGTTCTACTGCCCACCATGCCGTCCGCAAACACTCGGTAAAGTACTTGATATCCAGCGTGTTTCTCTTTAACTCCCAGAGATCAGGGAACAACTGCCTAAGCTTCCGCTTAAGAGCAGCCCAGACGTGCTCAATCGGGTTCAAATCGGGACTGTGTGCAGGCCATTCGATCCATAAGATTCCCCGTGATTGGAGCCACTCCTCGGTCGACTTACAGACGTGAATCTTTGCGTTATCTTGCTGGAAATGCCGTGTTTCGCCGTAGTGAGGAATGAGACCTTCTTGGAGGGCCTTTTGATACGACCTAGCTGTATACCCCTCCGAGGAGCATCGTCGTCACGGGCCATAACAATGAGCTCGCTGTCACGGGTGGGCGCAACTGACCACTGCGTAACACCCTCAAAAGAGGGACCGTGGTTCGAACTGTCCAGTCGAACCAGGAGTTGCGCACATGGACCTCACACTGTCACTACCCGTGACACTCGCTCCGCCCCCCTTGAAGATCATTCCCCAAACCATGATAGTGATATTCGCCTTCACATGGTTTTTAAGGTTTACGAAACGCTTATCGAACTTCTCAGAAGGGAAACGGAACACCCATGAGGTCGGGTTGGAGGTGCTATTCTGGCAAGAACACTCGTCTGAGAACATAGTCTGGAACAGTTAAGTCAAAGCCCCTGTGTCACGAATATGGCCGTATGCAGAAATCTGGTGGGGGCGCGAGGGGAGCGTCCCGAGCCAATCATTTAGAACAGGGGTATAGCCAATCACGACGGGAGCATTTAGAACAGGGGTATAGCCAATCACGACGGGAGCGCGAAGTCAAGCATTCGCTCCATGGGAGCGATGGGAGCGACGAGCGCTCCCAGCGGACCAGGAGCGACAGGAGCGAACTTCGCTCCTTACGCTCCTAAGGACAGTAGGAGAGGAAGCTGTATATAGTTCACGATCCCCAGAGCCTACGGGCATCACAGTAGCTTCCTCAATAAGCAATACAAGCAGTCAGCCATATCTACTGTTGAGACAATTGCTTGTGCACTTGTTGTGAACCCTTTGGCTTCACCGAATCTCACCCCGTTGTCACTTATAACCTTCAGGAGTCCCTTTCAGAAGCTGGGGCTTTGAGATTCGTCACACCCTGGTTTCCGACGCCCCTGGTTTCCGACAACCCCCCACTTTCCGACAGCTTGATTTCCTAATCCGGATATCAACCACAACCATCTCAAATGCCGCTCTTCCTACTTTTCGCAGCTGCTACAATACAACTAGCGGTATCGCTAGATTCCCCATCTTCAGAAGTATCAACTTGCTCAGTCTATACTGCCCCGGCTTCTATCTGCGCCCTGCGGATTGCTCCAATGCTTGCAAATACCGAATTTGGGTCCGTATTGACCCTCTTCCTTTTCCTGGGCTTCATAGCTTCTAACTGTGCCCGCAGAGCTTCATTTTCAGCTTGCAACATAGCGATATTGCTGTCCATACGGTCAAAGGCTTTGTTGACCTTTTGGAAGAGCTGTCGTCGGGTCCTAGATGGCTTGGTTTGCTGACTATATTTGGCCAGCTGTTGACGGAGTTGGAGTGGCAAAGCCATCGGCAATAGGAGCTGGAGCCTCAGTGGGTGACTTCTTTGGAGGCCAGAACTGTATTGCAATTTTTCAAAAGTGGCCATGTTCGGCTTCAGCGCTGCGGACTGCCAAGCATGATGATCGATGTAACGGGCTGGGCCCGAGATGGGCCTCAATGACCCTCGGCCAGCTCTCGTATAAGCACGGTCCACCAAACCCCCTGGATGAAGTTATTCCCACTCGACCCACAGTGTCGAACCTTCTAGGAGCGCACACCTGTGAGGATCAATTGGCTCTCGAGCTACCAGAGTCTCACATCTCTTCTTTCCTTCTCCAAGTTCAGTGTACTCGTAGAGTCGTCATCAGCTAGTTGCAATATACTACCTGAGACCGTTACAATCGAAGGCTCCTTCGTTAGAGGGTTGACCTTGGGCTCCGCTCTGGCAGATGAATCATTGATCTCGAATGCCGTGGGCTATCGCGATGTACCCTACGGTGATTTCTAAGGGGCCAACAATATTGAATACTACCTTCGTACCAACTCAGAGGTCTCAGACGACCTCAAACCGCTTATCTTGCCTCTACCTTATTCAAGCTGATCAATATAGCCTCACCAACACCAAGGGCTGTATTTGTCTTGCACATAGGGCCATAGCATTGGCTTACAACGAACAATCTTTGAAGCAGTTTCGGAACGCGGGATCTCTGTCAATGGTATTGTACATGTGCCCTGTGGTGGGCTGAATGAAACCCACCCAAGTCCCGTATTTGATAGGTAAGGTTGAATCAGGGTCAATGCCTTCGAGGCCTGTAATGTGGCCATGGTATCTTGGTGGCCCGAACAAGTCAAGGGCCGATTTGAAACACGGGTCTCCTTCACTGCTACCGTACGGTAGGCTAAACAAGGCCAGTAAGGTTAAGTGCATTGGATTGGAGGTAGTCAGCTGAGCTTATTCTTAGTACGGTAAGCGCATGCGTACCGACTCCTCACTGCATTCCACCTTTTTCCCACAGCCGCCACTCTTCTCCACTGTCCGACACAAGTTCTAATTCAATACCATGAACATGTCGGTGTCTCCAGTAGGTATTCCTGTCGTAACGATTGTTGCCTATGCTAGCCAGCTCGACAGGCTCCCTGCCAGTGGAGAGTGGGTGCTGTGCAATGGCAATCAGTTTCGACGGCTACCATGCTAAGCTCTCTGCTGTTATCGAATACGTGAACTGCAGTCAAGGAAACTCCTTCAACATTCCGGATCTCCGAGGACACTTCATTCGAGATGAGTGCACCTGAGAGATCAACGACTGAACTCTCGAGATCTCTAACCGACTTTGTTCCACGCAGGGTGGGATCCCGGCCAAAACCGCAGAGCAGGCCTAATCATGCCGTGGAACAGGGTCTCCGACGCGGCCCATGAAGGTGACGGTCAAAATGATGGCAATGGATTGGCATGCCACCAACAAGGCAGGGGAGACCGAGACCCCAGTCATTGACTGGTACAACAACACGACCCAGCTCCCCAGCGTCAAGAGTGATGCCGAGACTAGACCTATCAATGTTGCGCTTTACTGAATGATCATGGTCAAGCCCTTTGAGGGAGAAGGAGACGACATACCCGTTGGCGGTGTCATTCCTTTGGGGGGGGCAGATCACCATGCGCCGGCCAACACCTTCCCGAGCTACATCCGCTGCGATGGCGACCCAATCGACAGGAATCAGGTGCCTGACCTGGTCAACACTGTCGGCACGAGGTTCCAGCTTGCCGCGGGTACCACGTCGTGGTGCTCTCCTAACCTCAGTGCCAAGTTCATCCGCGGTGTCAACTTCACCGGCCGGAACGATCCTGACAGCAATGCTCGGATTCTGCGCCGGGCGGTCAGGCCACGGGTGTTGGCACAGAGTGTAGGAGTACAAGCCCGGCCCAAACAACACCGTCATCAAGGATGCGACCTGCGCCATGAGCCAGGAATTGCACGGCGGAGACATGGAGTCGCGCCCCGTCAATGCGGGCGTGCAGTACTACATCAACTCGGTCGGCGCCAGAGACATCGAAGGCCTACCTGCCGTCTTACCCATCGGCGGCATCATCGCCGTTCCGGGTGGGTACCTGGCCCAAGGGAAATTGAGCGCCCTCAATTGGCTCGAGTGCGGCGGCAGTCCCCTCTCCCGATTCGCGTATCAGTCGCTCTTCGACGCCATTGGATACACCTGGGGCAAGCCAACCAGGCCAACAACAACACCTTCAACCTCCCCAACCTCCACTGCTGGGTTCTCCGCGGCGCCGATGTCAACGGGGCGCAAGACGGCGGCGAATCCGACTGGAACAACCGCTTCAGTCTCTACCCCGGCGGCGCTACCCGCGGCGCCGGGTCGTACCAGCGCTCGGCGACAGCGCGGCCGGCCCGACTCGGCATCGAGCGCTTAGACCACCCCGTCGACACCGTCACCACAACCAAGACCAGAGGCTTTCCTTGGGGCCCGGACGAGCTCACCAACAAGTCGGCTCAGGCAAACGGGCCGCAGACACTGGCTCTGACCGCCAAGTGGGATGACGAGATTATCCCGACCACTGTCGTCGTGGCGTACTACATCCGCGCTGTTTGATCCCTGGCGGCTGGAAAATGGCAAGAAAGGGGGACTGTGGGAATCGCGAAAAGTTAGGGAAAATGGATGCCAGCATTCATTGTGTTATTTCGGTTGATTATCAGCAGCCTGTGTGAGATTCATATACGTCTCGCTGATCAGGTTAGGTTTTATGAATAAGAAGGCTAAGAAAACAGAGGACAATGGAAGTATCATTATTCCTACACCGCTGTGCCCTAGGGCGTGCCGGACCTTCAACAACTTACTATACAGGAAAACCGCGCCCTCGTGGGCCGGGTGAAAAACCCATATCGACAAGGACAATGGAAGTAGGAAAGTCAAGTTAGCGACGACGTTGGTAGAAGGAAGTAACAAAGGAGAAGACACTGGCATTGTTCCTGAGAGGTAGTCATTCGAGGCATCCTTACATACTCCAAGCTACCCCCTCTCGGAGAGAAACTAGGCTGCCTTCACTTCTTGTCTCGATCCCCGTCACCAAGACATAAACCCACCAGCCATTACTCCGTCTCCTGCTTTGAAGCTGAACCATAACCTGTCCCCCGCGGCCAACTCGCTGCGTGGTACGAGTGCACGGCGGCTCGCCCTGGCCAGCCTTCCTCCGCTCCTCCATCATCTCCATGTACTCGAGAGTAGCCTGCCCGTCCCACAACGGGATGTTCGTAAACAGGTCCGCGTTGGGCGAAGCCCACGTCGGCTTGACGGTAACCTTGAACGAGTCTCTCTCCTCGCTCGAGAAAATGAGACACGGCTTGCCTTTCTTCCATGGCTTATATTGAACCAAGTGCGCTTCATCCCTTCTCTCCAGCCAGGTCCAGTCGAAGTTAGCCAGATACACATACTGCAGCTGCAATCACGAAGTTGCTCGGCTAAGCCCTTTAATGACAATCTTGTCCCGGCAGGGGGTCCTGGCATTCGTCCATACTGTCACTGCGCATACTCGGCTCGTCAGGCCGGACAATGGGGTTCAGGGTCGGGGGCCGACCCGATCATCCAGGTAATCCGGGCACACTGTGAGGATCAGCCCTCGTCTGCAGGTACAGAGCATCTTCCCAGAACTTGTCACGCGACATTCCCTTGCTTCCCGGTCGCCATTCCCCCGCCTGTCGATTAGGTGGCCCAGGTGTGTGTGTACCGGAGGCGAGAGATGGAAACGGTCTGAAATGTTAGACGCTGCACCAACCTTGGCGCCAACGTGTTGAAGGGTAGCATGTCTCGCTTGACGAACACCCCTGGAAACACCTCGTGCGAAAAGATAGTCGAGATGCATTCATGTGACGTGCCACAGCTTAATAGCGCTATGTAACACGCCGCGGGGGATGGGTAGCTTGACTAGTAGATGGAACTGAACTCGTCGTCCAATTGGAGTATCAAGATCTAAGGGAAGCTCATAGTGATTTGTAATCCGCTGATAGAGACTCTTCGGTTGTAGACGAGATGGGTTGTTTTCGTACGGCCAGGCTCCGTTCCGTTAGACAGCATTATGATGGCGAAACCAGTAGGGTGAGGGGGCGAGAAGGTCGGAATGGCTGTGAAAGAAGAGAAAATGGTCCCCAGGTTGCCGTAGGATTTCTTCTCGGAGGCGGAGAAAGGCTCGGTCGCCTTCGCCGTAGAGGATTGGCATGTTGATGCCGAACAGCCCGAGCAGGCAGTAGACCTTGCACCCGATCCGCGTGGTTGTTGCGGTTGGCCGCCTACGACATTTTCTGCGCAGCTAGAAATTGAGAGAGGTCTCCGGTGCTGAAGCACTCCGAGCTGATCCCCGTGATCTCGACGATGCATTCCAGGAGTCGGTTGAGCAGCTCAGTGTCCTTGTCGCCAAAGTCTGCCGCGTTCCACTGATCCGATTCCATGCCCTGGGCGAGCTTCTGGTTTTCGGCGTCTCCGTGGACTTGGATGAACTCCTTGATGGGCTTGAGTAGCGTGTCCCTGGAGCCGATCTGTCTCCAGCCAGCGTCATAGAAGTAGACCTCGCCAGGAGCAATGTCTTGCAAAGTCGACCCGCGGGTGAACCAGCGTAATTTTCAGAAACTGGAAATAGCTGAAGGGTTCTTCTGTGCGTCGACGTCGCTGAGGAATGCATAGCACACCTCGGCATCGCCGTACCAAAGGAACGTTGAGTTGATGGCTACCGATAGCTCGGCAGAGCTGGACTTATCGATGCAACATGTGTCAGTCCACTTGTGTTGAAATTGTCAGAAATGGCCGCATGCTGGTCGAAATGGGGAGCAGAATTTGCTTCACAATGAATTCGAAACCATCCTGAATTGCCACATCACAGGCACCGGCCCCTTCTCATACCCGCGTCGTAGCCGCGCCGTCCCCTGTTGTATATCTTGAAATGATACTTGCTCGGTAGCTCATGTATAGGAAAGAATCGCACAAGGAGAAATGTTCCGCCCCAGGAACTCGACGAGCTCGAGTTCGTCAGTCCGAAGGAGGCGCATTGTGAAAGCTGGCGTAGTGAAGTGTAGAACCCAAATAGATGGAGGAAACGAATTAAGAGGGTAGAGCGCCAAGATGCTGAACGTTGTAAAGACGTGGAAGGTTGCGGGTTGTCTCGAAATCTGGGGCTGAGCTGGCTGTCTGCCCAATTCGTCGGGCATTGGAGATTGTCGATCCCCTGGCGAGTGCCCAACGTCGCAGAAAGTTGAGGGTTCAGACCCCGCCCAACCAGCGGCATAACCAAGCCCAGCCTTGTGTGGCAGAGTGCAGCTGGCTGAGCATGTACCCTTGCGCCGCCGCGGCACGGTCCGGGACGGCTGAGCCGGGCCAACCAGTCGCTTAGCTGCTTCCCTCAACGCCAAACTCGCGAGTCCAGCCCTCATACCTCTCCAGCTCGCCCACCCCGACAGACGACTTAACTCTCCGATCGCGAAGCACCTGCTTGAAATCCCCTGCAGTAACCGGGGGCTCCGAAAGCCCGTCCTTCGGCACCCCCTCCCACGTCATCTCCATCGCTCCCTTTTCGTGTCCTTCACAGGGCGTGTACATCCCCTCGCCAGTCGATCCCGTCTTCCTAAAGAACGTCGCCCTCTGCACCTTCTGCAGCGGCACAGACAGCGCATGCTTGATCACGTTTGCGACATCGCTTCCCGAGTACCCTCCCGTCATCTCCGCCAGTTCCTCCATGTCCACATCCGTCAGCAATTCACCCCACTTGCCAGAGTGTATCTTAAACAGCTGCTTCCGCGCCTCCTTGTCTGGTAGCGGAATGTAAATCCGCGGCTCGAAGCGCCGCCGGAAGGCTGGATCCAGCGCCCAGGGCAGGTTTGTCGCCGCAAGGACGACCACACCCGTGTTGTCGTTATCGCCGGCGTGCAGCCCGTCGAGTTGGACCAGCATCTCGGTCTTCATGCGCCATGTGTGCTCGTTGCCCGTGTTGTCTGGGCCGCCGCCGCCGCCTTCGCGGTTCGAGCAGAGGGCGTCAATTTCGTCGATGAAGATTATTGACGGCTTTTTTTCGCGGGCAAGGGTGAAGAGTTGGCGGATAAGCCTGGAGGATTACGTTAGCAGGTGATATGGAAAGAAAATCGGCAAGGTTAGAGATATGTACTTCTCGCTTTCGCCAAGGTATTTGGAGACAACGTCCCCTGCGCTGATGCTGAAGAATGTGTGGTCTACTTCTGTAGCCACTGCCTTTGCAAGGTAACTCTTGCCTGCGCCTGGAGGTCCGTAGAGGAGGATAGCACCCGAAGGTTTTCGCTTCTCGTCGTAGAGATTGGGAAACCTCTGAGGGAATACAATCGCCCTTTGCAGCTCGTGCTTTGCTGGAGTGAGCCCTGCAACATCATCCCACTTGACGTTGGGCTTTTTAGAAACGATGGCTTTCATGAGCGGCACCTTGATGATATCGTTAGCTGGATTAAACATCCCTAGGCCGCCACCGCCACCACCGAGAGGTTTTGTTTTGTCTGACGCCGGCGGCCCCAGCAACGACCGTAACGATGTGAGTGATTCAGGCAAACCGGCCGGGTTCGCATCATACGGACCCGGGAGGAAGGTTGTCGGGACAGCCGATAGCGCCGGCGGAGCGCGGTGCGGGTCAATGAGACGAGTGATTCTCTCCACTTGGAAAGGAAGAAATTCGTGCTTGCACAAAGGGCAGGTAAAGCGATAATAGTTACCCCTTCTCAAGTCGAGCCCAGACAACAGCAGCTTAGGGAGACAAGCTGGGCAGATGTCGAGCGAGTGTTTTCGAGCACACTCTGGCAGGATGGCCTTGGATGGGCGACCCAGCACCATCCATGTCCAGTCGCCTGGGAATGTGGTAGACACATAAGCCCAGGCTGCTTCCTTGCTTGTATCAACAGCATCAAAGCCGCCAGAACATGATGAACAGATTTTGGTCTCAGTCTTCAGCATGCTCGTGAGGATGGGTACCGGCTGCGTGAGAAAGCCGGATCTGACCGGAAACAAAGGGGTCGAAACAGGCATGGAACCCGCTTGCTCCAATGGTAACATCAACCCGTGATCAGTCAGAGCCTTGTACAGGCGCTGAGCTAGCTCCAACTCGCGGTGAGCGGGCCGGGGACGGATGCTATCGAGGGCACTCCGAATCTGTTCCACTGCGTCAAGCATCTGCTTGAGAGAGGTTTGAAAATGGAGTGCAGCCTGGGGACTGGCCGAAATGTCCCGAGGAGCATTGAGAGTTTGGCAGCATTTGGCAGGACATCCGAGCCATTTGGGAGAGTCCACATGGAACCAAACGTCTTCCTGGAGCCGCTCCTTCAAGGCGTCGGCGAGGCATGGGTCGCAGATTCGGCTTTTGCAGCAGGAAAGCTCGTGTAAGAGTCGGCTGGAATCGAACAGCAAGTTGCACCGCTGACACCTGTCCGCTTCTGATGTTGGCAAACCGCCAGCCCTCGGCAACGGCATGGATTCCAGAGCTGAACTCGGCTTGGGCTCTTGGTCTGCCTTGAGTTTTGGAACCGACGAATTACGGGCCAGGCTCCTAGCGTCCTCCGCTGTTCCGAGAGCAATGGCGAGAGATTCTAGCGATGTCGTGAGACTATCAACGGACGGCACCAATTTGGCAGCCTGCTCGGTGTCGTGATCGCAGCCCGAGTGCTGTCTGGATACTTCCGCAGGTGCGGATTCCGTGACTGCTGCTGGGTTACCGACGTTGTGTGTTTGCGCAGAAACCGTTTGGTCCTTGGCGCGTTGGTGCGAGTCCTGCGACATGCTGAACCCTGCAGTCAGTGCAGTCGCCCCGGTAGAGTGGGAAGCGGTAAAAACTGGGAGTTGCAAAAGCAGATGGGGCGATAGCTAAGGCACTGTCGTTAGTGCCCAGGGTTAGAAGATAATCCCATCCAAGAAAGTAAGGGAAGAAAATGCGAAGGGTCTTTTTTTGTCTCTTTTTTTCTGGGAAGGGCTTGGATGTATCAGCCGGTGAAGGGAGATGGATGGATGGATGGATGGAATTTATTTCGCCCGGAGGCGCGAAGCCTAAAGGGCCTTGTGAAGGGAGATTTCGACTTTTGGTGAGTCAACAAACTGAATATACACATGTTAGGCAACAATGCTCCACTTTAGTGAATGGGTCGGCAACCCCTAACCCCGTCATCTATGGATGAAATACTGTACCTAACCAAATTGCAGGCTCTCAGAGTTACAACCTCTCAATTACCGTATGTTACTAATTTTGCAAACTTGAAACTCAGGTCTACCTATGCGACCAGATGACGCCCGTCTTTATTTACAAACCATTGCTAGCACATGAGAAAATGCTCCTTATCGTACCATTTTCGAACTCAAGGATAATACTCTCCACCGTCGCATACGTGCCCACCGTGAGGAAGAAGACGCCGATCAGAATGATGACAACATTGAGCGCTCCAAGCAGGTAGCCAGCCACGGTGTGCTCTTTCACGAGTGCGATGCCCCCGTCGGCGCGGCGCATGCGGAAGTAGGCGACGCCCCAAAAGATGAAACCGAAAAAGCTGTCGAAGAGGGAGCTCATGAGAGAGAGCACTAGCCGCAACAAGTCAGCGCGGTCAACAGCACACGGGAAGGCGGCAGAAACCTACAGGACGAAAAGAACGGGATGACCTGGGCGATGATAAAGGCGACGATCCAGGTAGCCACTGTCGAGCGGAAATGTCAGTGCAACCGATCCGCGGACTCCGACGGCCTGTTGCAGCGGGATCCACTCACTCAAGATGGACGTCCAGGTGGCCCAACCAACCACGGTGTGCTCGTTCTTGTGGCGCGAGTTCTGGAAGATGCGGAAGAAGACGAAGCGCGCTGACACTGACGCATACAGTACGCCGAGGAAGATGATGGTCGGGATCATGAAGGAGAACGACACCTTCTTGAACAGCGGCTGCAACGAACCAAAGGCCGGCGCCGTCATGTACTGATTACCGACATACGCGTAGACGACGGCGCCGACGATGCTGAACAGCACAATTTCGGCGATGGTGCAGGCCCAGAGCGCCTTGGGGAAGTCGCGCGGATCTCTCATCTCGGCGATGAAGGACGGGAGCGTGATCTGGCCGATGAAGGTGTAGCTGATGTTGAGGAAGGCGCCGAGGCCGCTGACGAACGTGGTCCCGAGCACAGGCACAGCCGTCACAGTTGGATCCCCTCCGACGTCGGGGTCATACTTAGCCGGGTGCGACTGCACCGCCGCGAAGATGACTGCGAGGAGGACCGAGACGAAGGTGAAGAAGGCGGACGCGGTGCCGAGCTTGGACAACATGTCGAAGGTCCGCGGGAGCGAGCAGAACCAGCAGATGATGGCCACGACGATGCCGAAGCTGACAGTCCGGCACCCTACGCTGTCGGCCTCGGTCATGGTGTTGAGATACTCGGCGCCAACCAGGACATGTAGGGCCTGCGATTCTCTGGTCAGACGAGATAAGAGGAGCGGAAACAGACGTCGACGTCGGGACTGACCTGGATAAACTGTGTGCGAGCGCCGGGTTAGCGTGTGAATCACCACCGAGGAGACTGCAACGGCAGGTTGCATAGGTACGTACCGTATTGTTGAGGATGAACATGACGGCTGTGGCCCACCATGCCCACCGCTTGTTCCAGAACAGCATCTGACCGATGTCACAAATATCGCGAACCTCGGGATGGCGCAGACAAAACTCCCACAACACCAGAGATCTGCATGTGGCGTTAGAAACCAATCACGATAGGTCCCGCATATTCGAGACAACAGCCTGGGAGGGTCCGAGCTGAGCCTTACGTGTAGAGCACAATCAGCGCGACGACAACGGTCAAGATCAGTCTGTTCGGGGAGGTGACGTTAGCATTTGGCGCATGTTACTAACCGCAGTTATTCCCTTAGTATGCGGTCGAGCGAGCGAAGTCTATATGGAACCTACCCCGGAACAAGGCCAAGAACGCTGTACGACCACGGAAAGCTCATCATAGCCTAGGTCACGACGACACTCAGCACCCAGCTCCAACATGCAAGACATCAAGGATACCCGTGCATCAGGTCGCATGCCCGGTGGCTATCACCTACCAAGCAAATGTACTCAGAAAAAAGCAATCCAGCCGTCTAAGGACACAATGCGCTGTCAATACCCAACCGGCCCACGAGCAACAACAGGGGATACGACGCCGAGGTAGCTGGCACTCACCTTCTGCCAGCTGCACGTTCGATATTGGATGGCATGGCCCTGCTCGGCAGCCAGCTGCTTGTCGAGAATAGCCGCGCTGCTCTGTTCCGAGTCCGAGTCGCTAACAATTGAGATGCTGCTGAGGACAGGCCCGATGCGCGGCCCAACGGTGACATTCGGTCCGCCGAACCACGACGACCAGCCCGTCGGGGACGGCACCTCGGGCGTCCTTCGTCCACCTCTGGCCTCCTTCCTCTCGTCGGATGCTGCCTGTTGGTCGGGAGAGTGGTCGTAGGCCATTTTCTTGGTCTGTAATTAACCTTCAGATGCGCAAACGGCATGCACAAAATCGAAAAGGTCAAAAGGGAGTGACTTTGAAGCGAACGGAAAGTTGGAGCGTCCCCATGTTACGAGAGATGGGGTTTTGTACACCAGCCCTGGAAAGTAAGGTGACGAGGGTGAGTAAACAAATTCAGCAGGGAATGCGACGTCGTCATCAACATGCACGATCACGCCTTGGCGCTAATCAAGGCGCACGCCTCCACGTTTTCGTATACGGGCCGCAAGCTGGGCAAGGCTTATGCTCCTCGATAACGCTTGGGTGGATCCTTCGAGGCGTTGCGATTGGCAGTCAAACCGTTAGCACATGTATGCCGTCATCAGCCAATACCCCCGAACCGGAATTCAGGGCCAGGAGTTTCCTGAACTGGGAGCCTGGACTCGGGGTGGGCCCACGCATCGGATGTTAACACCGAAGCCGGGAGGGAACTTTCACACAGTTCAGTCCAATTCGTGCGGCGATCGATGTACAGGTACATCATGAAAATTCAGCTGAAGGGAGCAGCAGTCTCCTTTGGAGCTACGTTTCTGGCGCGTGGCCCGAAAGTGTCGAACCTCCATACCCCCAATCCGTCATAATGGCCTCTTTCTTTGCCCACTACGCACATCGAGGGGTCGGAGCGCTAAAACCCCCTGCCCACCTCCTCATCCCCGATAGCCCCCAGCTTGCCCAGATGGGCCTTCTCCTGCTGCTCGACGGCGACATCGGCAGGGATTCTATTCGGGGTTGAGCGCACCAGCAACAGCATGGGGCCGACGGCAGCGACCATGAGAGCGAACGAGACGATGCTGTTGCAATTGCAGATTAGAGGTCAGCAACCTGGTTTTCTTCAACTACGGAGCGGAGAACATGATTGATTTGCAGCCGGTACTTACAATCCGATCAAAGGACTGGTCTCGATCTGTGTGTTCATGCCATACGAGATGGCCTGCCCCACGGCTTCGAGACAGCGGAAGGCGGCGCCGTTGCGGACGTTGGCTTGCTCGGATGTCAGTCCATGTTCCCTGTAATCCACTGCCCTATCCTCTCCGGTGAATTTTTTTGCGGCATATCACATGGTCAACTCACCTTGGGCATCGGTGGCAAAGGACGACAGGAGCCAGTACATGTACGACTGCGACAGCGGGCCGGTCGTCTGGACGAAGAAGTATGGCAGGAAGGACCTGGCGTAGAGCGGCTCGTCCCAATCGATGTGGCCCGGGCTGTGGCGGTTGAAGTCGACCTGCATGATAATGGACCAGATGTAGACGGCCGCGTTGAGGATGACGACGGTCCAGAGGCCTAGTTGAGCGCGCCGGCGCTGGCTGACGCCCTTCAGGTCGAGAATGAAGCCGAGGCCGAAACAGCCGACGCTTGCATTGGATTAGATTTTGAGTTTGGGTGAATATTCACATCCGTCTCAAAGCAGATGCGGCGACGGAATGAGAGAGCTGTTTTGTCACTTACATGCAGAAGAAAGGAGAGATGAGAGAGGACAGCGCGCGGGCACGGGTCGAGAAGTAAGTGGCGAGGTAGGTAGACCAGGTGCCGCTGTCGATAACATAAACGTTAGTGAACTTTGATCCTTGAAGCAACACACTTTTAACCTGACTTGCCTGTAAAAGAATGACCACAGCGCCCAGAAGGCCGACAGGAGGATGAGGCGAGAAGTCATGGTCATCTTGATTAGCTTGAATTCGTCGCGCGTCTTGAGCTTCTCAGCGACGTGGATGCGCGTGCCATCTGAGCGGACAACGTGCTCGAGCGGAGAGAGTAGGAAAGCGAACGGCAGACTGGTCCGACGTCAGTAGCGACAGGAGAGTACAAAGACAGCTACTCACGCCAAACACTGGATGACGATGAATACAACGTAAGTGTCGGGAGTGACGCCGCCGTCGACGCCTTTTTCGTGGTTCTTAGCCAGGCTGTGAGAGGACAGCATGGTTAGTTCCGGGACACATCTTGAAAGCACAGACAGGGAAGAACCTGTGATGACCTACTTAATGGCACCGCCAACGAGCTGTCCGAGATTTCGCGATACGATCCAGAGGGCGAGATACTTCCCTCGAGCTCCGCTAGGAGCTAGCGACATGATGGCCCCGGCTTCGGCAACATACCAGCAACCGGTTCCCACGCCGGAGATGAAACCAGCAAAGATCAGGTACTGGACAATACTTGTTAGAAGATGGGTTCAACCCTTCCCGGCCCGTTTGAGAGTTGGAGGTAAGGTAACTTGCCCACTGGTTTCCAAACGCGCTGTTGCAGTAATACGCCGACCCCTGAATGGGAAAGGACAGGGCACCAAGGACCAGAGCCCACTTGACGCCAATCTTGTTGACGAGAGGACCGCCGAACAGACAGACTGTTGGTTGTTAAGTTGGATGACTGCAAGGGGCATTTGGAAAGTAACTGACCAAGCGCAAGGGCTGCGTAGTTGATGGCGTTACTGGGCCGAGGTATCAGTTATAACACCCAACAAGTACCTTAGTAAGGCACGCGGGTGGCATACGAGATGTTGGATGTTTCAGGGGTCGCAAGACCACCGCCACCGAGGCCTATTCAAATGGGCGTCCATCAGCAGCTGGTCAGTCTGGTGATAATGTGAGGTATAAGACACCCACCTGCAATGGCGTCCCACATGGCCGGGCCGCAGAAAGCCTGGATGCTGAGCAGCATCATCTGCGTCAGACTGTGCTTATAGGCTCGCTTCCACCGCGGGACGGTCCTGCGGTACTCGTCCATGTTGACACTCCCGCCGACCATGTCCATACGCGTAGGATCGACATCACAAGAAGCCACCTGTCCCGCGGCAACATCCTTTTCACTGGCATGAGTGTTTGGAGGAGACGGGTCTGACTTGGACATGTCGGAAAGAATGCAAGTTGAAGATCGGGGCGATGAGATGAGAAGACATGGTCCGTGTTGGATGGAATAGCCTCGGAGAATATATGTGCATTTCAAGTTCCTCCCTTCGTCTCGATAGCGGTGCTCTACCTGACGATGGACACCCGCCTAGTGGATACTCGAAGCCAAGCTTATCAGCGGTGATCCGGGGTAAACAAGCATTCTGCGGGGTGTTGGACGCGAAAGGACCACCTGACATGCCAGACTCGGTTATTACGTACGAGAGAAGGGGCCATATCCCCAAGATAGGCCGTATGCCGGGTTGTTGTTATCGTTGGCAAAGCCGATCGGGGTTGCCGGCCGACGGCGGCCAAGGAGGGCAATTCGACGCGAAGACCGGGGCCGACTCGGAGCAGCCAGTGGGGCAGTAGCGGGCCCTTCGGTGGGGTCGGATTCGTAGATGCGGAACTAATGCCCGATAACAACGCAATCGGCCCGCTCTTGGTCCCGCATCCGTCGACTTTCAGGTCGCTTGAGTAACTTCCGGGTGCTCGGCTATCGTTGGCGTCTTAGCCATATCCATCCATCTTACGTCCGTATATCGGCCGGCTCTACTAAACGCTAAGAAACACCACCGACCTCCGGGAACAGGGACCAGGCCCGGCTTCCCTCGGGTTTCGCTGACTCGCTTCTGACCTCCTGCTACGCCGCATGATCCTTTTCACCATCAAGTAGTATTTCTCGATGGGTTGAGCAACCGAGATCCAAGACACGACGAGCATCGAGCCATCGACATCACTATCCGGTATCCACCATGGCTGCATCCCGCAAAGACACAAAGGTCATCGTCGTCGGAGGCGGCGGCACCATGGGTTCGTCGACCGCCCTACATCTCCTCCGCGCCGGATACACGCCCTCCAACATCACCATCCTGGACACCTACCCCATTCCGTCGGCCCAGTCGGCCGGCAACGACCTGAACAAGATCATGGGCATCCGCCTCCGGAACAAAGTCGACCTGCAGCTCAGCTTGGAAGCGAGAGACATGTGGCGCAACGACGAGCTTTTCCGGCCTTTTTTCCACAACACCGGCCGACTCGACTGCGAGAGCAGCGAGGAGGGCGTTGCCGGTCTCCGCCGCGAGTATCAGGCGCTGCTCGACGCCAATGCCGGGCTAGAAGAAACGCACGAGTGGCTCGACAGCGAGGACGCCATTTTGGCCAAGGCGCCCCTGTTGCCACGTGAGCAGATCAAGGGGTGGAAAGCCATCTGGAGCGCAGAAGGAGGCTGGCTCGCAGCCGCCAAGGCGATCAACGCCATCGGCGAGGAGCTGCGGAGCCAAGGAGTCAAGTTCGGCTTCGGCGGTGCTGGCTCGTTCAAGCGTCCGCTGTTCGCTGCTGACGACGTCAGCACCTGTGTCGGGGTGGAGACGGTGGACGGAACCCAGTACCGCGCCGACAAAGTGGTTCTGGCAGCCGGTGCCTGGACTCCGGCCCTGGTAGACCTCGAGGAGCAGTGCTGCTCGAAAGCGTGGGTGTACGCACACATGCAGCTCACCCCCGAGGAAGCGGCCGAGTACAAGGGCTGTCCCGTCGTGTACCACGGAGATGTTGGCTTCTTCTTCGAGCCTAACGAGAACCGAGTGATCAAGGTCTGCGACGAGTTCCCCGGGTTCACCAGGTTCAAGCAACACCAACCATACAGCGCGCCGGCGCCGAAGCCTGTCTCGGTCCCTCGCTCCCACGCCCAACATCCCACCGACACCTACCCCGACGCATCCGAGCAGAGCATCAGAAAGGCCATCTCAACCTTCCTACCGCGCTTCAAAGACAAGCCATTGTTTAACAGGGCGCTCTGCTGGTGTACCGACACGGCTGACTCGGCGCTGCTGGTTTGCGGGCATCCGAGGTGGAAGAATTTCTTCTTGGCTACGGGCGACAGCGGCCACAGTTTCAAGCTACTTCCTGTGATTGGGAAGCATGTTGTTGAGCTTGTCGAGGGCAGGTTAGCGGACGATCTGGCCGCGGCATGGAGGTGGCGGCCGGGCCAGGGCGATGCGCGCAAGTCGATACGGGCGGCCCCGGCCAAGGATCTGGCGGATATGCCGGGTTGGAGACACGATGGGGATGGTGCGTCAAGATGATGATTGGGAGTTCAGTGTTGTACCGATGGAGGCTGCGCCATTCTCCGCTGCTGGATATGAATCAGACTTATATTATGCCTGAGAGCATGAGGCAGAGTCTGGACTCGGAAGAGGCCTGCTTCATGCTTGCCCATTTCACACCGGTGCTGTCAGCCTTTCCGAATATAGTTATACCTTACAGTCTCGAACCAAAGTTACTCCATATTACATTGTTCACCCCAACAGGTTCCGACAGCATCCCAACCACACACACATCGTCGAGGATCACGGAGGTGCATTTGCATCACGGTAACAGCCGATTCCGGAGGCATCTTAATCAGAGTGACAAGATAGCACTGGGTGTTGGCCTAGGGATGGGGATCCCTTAAGGTGCTCTCACTCTAATGCTCGTGAGTACAGGGTTAAGCCTCAAGCAGGAATTCAGGACTCCTCTCTTCAAGGCAAATTGAGTAACGAGTCTCTTTCTGCCTTCTGGTCACCTTAGTAACACGTTTGTTTTGTTTTTTGGGGGCCTCAAGGGGGATAAAGCCTCCCGAACCTCCAGAGGGATTCGAAGCCGGTCAGTACCTCTCAAGCTCTCTATGACCGGCGAAGAGGGCTGGCCGGTAGCCTCTTTATGATTTCTGTCCCGCCCCTCAGTGCAAAATCTATGATGCTCTCCCCTCCATCGAGCTAACTACCGGTGGGCGGTGCCAGCTGCCATGCAACTCGGGCGTCCTGTGAGCCATTCCTCAAGATCCAGCCTGCAAGAAGTGTCCGACCATGGTGTCAACATTTGCCGCCCCGCTTGTTCTGGCCGCCCCCGAGATGGTCGACGTGGAAGGTGCTGATGTCGAACGAGAAATCTGGTTGCCAGCTGTCTTCGAGCCCAGATCCGTCTTCTTGCATCCAACAGGTCTCACTATCACTTGTCACCTCTTGTTGGTTTTGTCGAACTTCGTCCGCCCTGCCCTTGCCCTTGTCAGTTGACACACAGGTGTTCTCGGTGAGGGATGCAGAGCTCGTCGGTGTGTTCTCTGTAGCGGAGTCTGAGTGGCTGGCCGAGGGCCCCGGCGACGATGGATCACTTGTTTGCTGGGTCTCATTCGCAGACGGAGGAGACTGTGCGGTGTGCTCAGCTAGCCACTAATCGAAGATCAAGGCAAAGCAGCGTGAGAAGACTCGCGCCTGAAACGCGGCGGGGTCTTGGTGTGCTTCCAACGGTATCGTGCCGCTCCCCTCTCCATTGTTACTCGGCTGGTTGGCAAGGGCTTGTATCTCAGATGTAGTAAATTGTCGGACCACGAGCCTGAGCGTATTCTCGGAAATGACAGAGGTCTCCGGACAGTGCAGTTTCGACATACGGAGAGGAAGGCTGAGGTCGACCGAGGAAGACTATCTCCCAAATGGTGAACCACTGCTGCGATTCGGTAATGTTTGACGGGGACCGCTTGGAAGGTTTGGCCCGCTGTTGATGGGTGATCATGCCACAGAAAGTGCTAGAGCGGAACGAGCAGGTTCGGGCTGAGACGTGCCTTTGATGGGCCTCTTCATCCGGCAACACTGCCATGCAGTACTCGCAGTAGAATTGGGAATAATGATTCCGGTGGAGATGCTGCTTGACCCGCGCGATGCGATTCAGACCGAACGTGATTCTGAAGCAGCTCCGGTGCTCCCGCGGATCGAGCTTCCAGAACGGACAGGCCAGGAAAACAGTTCGTCTTTCTCCCTCATTCTTGACCTTTTTCTTCTTTGGTTGCCGTTTTCGAGAATTTTCCTCCTCTGATTCTCGTTCTTGGTTCCCATGACCTCGGCGTACAGCAGATTGAAACTGGCATCCTAATGGATTCTGGGTTCCGTGATTCAACGAGCAATGAGCAGATACATGGTCCTCTCGAGAGCCGTTTTCATGCGCGCCTGGCGACGCCGTGCCGGTCGGGATTTGCGTTGTTAAGGGAGAGACTGTACTCTTCCGGTATTCTGTCAGAAATCGGCGAGCGGCTATATCGACGAAACGGAACGCCACATCGGCTGTCCCTGGCGCATTAAGGGCTTGATATTCTGACTCTGAATCCTCGAAGATCGGAAGACACTCGAGTTCCACGGACGTCTCCCGGGATCTAGGGTTTTCAGAAGTCGCCGGTTCGCAATCGGACTCTCCGTCTATCGAAGCCTTGGATGTGCTTGGTTGATGAACTGAGGTGACAGGATTTTCCTGCACTGCACGGCCCCCTAGTTCCTCTGTCATAGATGACAATCCGTCCAGCTCCAAGGAAAACAATGGAGCTTGGTCTGTGTCTGCGTTTGCTCCGAGCCACATAAAGACGCTAAACGCATTCCTATAAATGTCAAACAACGCGGCCAGTTGCTGGCTCAGCTCGCGAGCGTTGCTCCGGTCTATGCAGAGCGAATCGACCCACACGGCCCGTTTTGAACTCGCGCGCCGAAGTTGATGCAGCGTTGTGTAGAGAGTTGCCTCCACTGGCACCTGTTCACCATTGCATTCGATGATTGGGTATGCCGGTCCGGTCTCTAGCTGGCTGTGTTCTGTTGCACCCGTCCCCCACACGTACAAGACGGCTTCGTAGGCACCACGGTTGTCCCTCATAGAGCAAACGCGCAAGTGGCATTGAAGTTTTTCTTTGCTCGTGCCAGGAAGTATCTTGAGCAGGCGGAAGTGGTCATTCGAAGTGAGATCCGTTTAAAGCGACCGCGGTGGTGTGGTAGTGTAGTGGTACTTGGCCGCATATGGCCCTCTCGAACCAGGGCTCCGAGTCTGGGATGAGTTTGGTATATGCGCCCCCATCAGGAACGTGAGTTTCCACGGAGGGTTGGGAAGAGTCCACTCGAATTTCCGACGGGGCGTGCAATTCTTAGGGGCCACTTCGGTTGGATGATCCTCCGAGTGGATGCTGTGGTAATCACTTAGGGCCTTGCGGCCATGGCCAATCATGGCTTCATGGCTGGAGAGGCGATTGATGACATCCAATGTCTCCCTCTATGGCAAGTCAGCGGCTTCAACGACGGCCACATGTGCAGGGGATATGGACGGACTCATACACGGTATAAGCGCGTATACTCTGCCATGAACGAGGCGTGGTCTGGGTCAATGGAGAGGGGGCGGGGCGAAGTGGATATGACTGAACAGAAGATGCTCAACATGATGATCAATCTGGTGTGTTCCAAACTCCCCGTGTTGGCATCCAGATACACCAAGTTCTGCTCAACAGAGCCAAGTCGAGGGCTGAGGGCATCGAAGTTCGAGAGTTGGGATTTCATGTCCAGGGCACTTGAAGTCAAGGTCGGCGTGGTGCGTTGCGCCTGCTTTGCGAGTCGTCAGGGGGGTATCACTATCTGCGGCATCGCTTTCCTGTCTTCGTCGTTCTTGGAAGCTTTTCGAGACTTTGTCGAAAGGCGCCGCGTGGAGGGCTTTTCCACCGCCTTTTCAGACTCGTCGTACTCGATGGCGCAGGCTTGCCGAAAGCCCATGGCGGGCTGCGGACGGCCTGATCCAAAGCGGGATTCAAGCGGACGCGTGCAGTAGTAATCAAGCGGAGGAGGAGGAAGATGCGGGTGGGCCATAACCAAAGGCGCCGTTGATAGCGGGCCAAACGGTGCTGGTATGCTGCCTGGGCCGGCCCTGGCCGGGGCGTCCCCCTCGGGCTCCATGGAGGATGGAGGAAAGGGGAACGGGGCAGGTTCTCTGCTGTAGGGTGGGGTAATAATGACCCAAATGTTAGTGGGCTTCGGGGCGATATTGATCAACACGAACGGTCGAGCGCTCCGGGGCGGGGGACTGAGTCCTCGGATTCTAGGCTGTTTAGCCTCCATCATTGAAACTTTAGCGGTGGTGTTGACGTTGTCGCCTTCGGAGGCGAGATATTCTGCTTCGGAGCTTGCACCATCGGTTGCTTCAAAACCAACTTCACAAGCAACCGATCCATCATTCCGGCTTTCAATCCTAGCTGGAGCTGGGTGTTTCTCCAGGTCATCCAAGGGAGGTGGACCCGGCCGAAGTTTCCATGACGCTTGCATCGCTTCCAGCCAAGGATAGTTCACGATGCCGCTGAGCCGGCAACCGACGGGAGGCGATATTAGGTAGGGGCCTGAACGTGTCAGTACGGGGCGATCAGAGTCGAAGGGTGTCCGGATCATGTATACGACGGCAAGCTGCCCGAATTTTGCATCCAAGCCAAATAGATAGGTAATTATTATTCCTACACCGCTGTGCCCTAGGGCGTGCCGGACCTTCAACAACTTAGATAGATAAGTGGCAGCCTGGCACAGCGAATGGCCGGGAGAAAAGAGCTTTGTCAAGGTTGCAAACTGTGCCGAGGAGGACGGAGGTTTGCCCGTGCCACTGAGCGGGAAATTTCAGGAAAGGCTGTGTTGCCAAGTTTCCTGATTCCCATGCATGAGCACAGGCACGACTGAAAAATCGAAGAGCACATTGGTGCTCATGGCTCCAATTGGTCAGATATTCAAAGCAGCAAAGGCAGACACCGGTAAGGCCGATAAGTATAAGTTGAGAGCGGGTAAAAACAGACCAAGATATATCAAAGTTGGTTGAGCACATTGGCTCTCAGGAAAGCTGAGCATCGAGACCATGTTGAACACAGGAGAGCATATGGCTACCTTACTGTATATCGAGGTCGTTAGCAACGTAGCGCAAATAAGAAATCGTCTTAACAAGCTAGAACATGAATGGCCTGCATGTATGAAGTAGTTACATGAATCCCCTACGGGACTCGTTTGGTACTTTCATGTTTGAGAAAGCAACGATAACATCACACTGTCTTGAATCCACTTGATCACGTCTAGGTACTTTCACAGCATCAAGATGTCAACCAAATCAAACATCTCCGGCCAGACCTTGACGGATTCGATGTGAGTGTGAAACTTGAAGCCTGAGCACCTTGAATCTTCGATTTGGCCCATTGACCGAAGGCCAGGAGCGAAAAACAAACCTGCACGGCGATGCTAGACTTATATCTCAGAAGCCCATCGACAATCACCGAACGTCTGCTTCTCATTTCTGCGGCCTCTGCAAGCAGTACCGTTAATGTAACCTCCACCGGTCCGGACCGGATGAAGAGGGTTGGACGTAGGCGTCAACCTCCGGTGTAGGGAAGCTTGAGATCTGCTGAGGTACTATGCTCTGGTCTCTAAATTGAATGACTTGTTGCGTTTTGGCATTGTGACCCCTGGAATCGGCACTTTAGAGTTGGCAGATCGACTGACCTGGTATCAGAGACATGGCAATTCAGCAGGTATAATCTGATGGCTGTGGTTGGGCGAGTCTTGATTCCAGCAAAACGGAACTTGTATCTCAGGTACCTGAACTTCTATGTTCGTAACGAGTGACATGATGACCTGAAGTCCGCCCAGAGCTGTTCCTCTGGCAAGGAACTGCAGAGTAGGTTTCAGGATTTTGGGATGCTGAAGAGAGGATGTATGTAGACCCCTCAAGCGCCAACTTTGGCCTCGAGGCGTTGAAAGCCGCCGCAGCGGCAAACCTCCTGCTGCAGCTCCGCCATTCTCTTCTGATCTCCAGTCGGGTCCGCAGACTCCTCCTCGAGGGCCCAACCGAGGAACTCGTTGGAGTAGTTAGGCTCAAAGCTCTCGTCCAGCACACCAAGACGCTTGCCATATTTGGTAACCTTCTCCCAGTCCCGCCTGACATTCTTCAGGTCGCGCGAGAAGTAGGCGAAGCTGCGCTCAAAGATCTTGCGGTTCAGCGGGGTGCCCATGACGGGCTTGAAATCGACATACTCGGCCCAGGCCTGCTCTGGCCGGGCGAGAACAAAGTCGGTGGCGCGCTTGACGGCGCGCATGAAGGCGCGCACCTTGTCCGGGTTCTGCGAGACGAAGCGCTCGTTGCCAATGTACAGGATGGTACAGAAGCAGCAGCAGCCCAGCTCGGCGAGCTCGTCGATGCGCAGCATCTGCACGTCGGTCTTGGGACGGCCCTGCGCCACCAGCCACTCCTCGAGCTCAACCATCTGCACGTTCTCGAGGCCGATGCCGGCGTCGATGGCGCCCTCGATGATAGCCTTGGACACGTTCATGCCGCAGCGCACGGCCGTGTAGTCCGAGGGGGACATGCCGTAGTGCGACGTCAGCTCGTCGATCTGGATCTTGCCGAACTCACCGACGTAGCCGATGCGCTTGCCCTTGAGGGTGCGGAAGTCAGGCGTGATACCGGACGACTTGAGATAGACCACGCCAGTGAAGGGCTCGTCCAGGAGGCTGCCGATGGACAGGACCGGGAAGTTGCGAGCTTTGGCCTGGGAGAAGTTTAGAGAAGGCTGAGCACAGGAGTCGCAGTTACACGCACGGCAAGGGTGTGGATCATAGCCTTGAAGCCGAGATCGACTTTGCCGGTGCCGATGATTTCGGTCACATCCTGAAGCAGTCAGTTCGCTTACTTTTGTTGGTGATTAGAACGTCCCAAGACTTACGCTGGGGTCGTTGGGTTCAAGCAAGGCAACCTTGATGCCTTCGTCCTTGAAATAACCTTTGGCCTGGGCCAGGTACAGCGGAGCGTGGTACGGCGTAGCGTGCCTGGCTTGCATCAGACATCAAGGCTGACATGACGAAGGGAGGCAGAAGCGGAGTAGGTATAAAATAAAAGTCCCCTAAGCAGTCAGCTTCCCACACATACCAGTTGGTCAGGAAGGTAATCTTGTCAGTCGACATTCTGACAGATCAAGGATCGTGCTAGAGAGGGTCAGCTATCGACTCAGGCGTGCCCTGCATGGCACTGCAAGGGAGAGGGAGGCTAAGAAGCATGTCCTTTCGCTGGTATTATCCAGATCAAGTTCGACCGGTATATCTCAGAACGACAACCTGCTCTGGCACCCTCCACCATGGCCGCCCAGGTGTTGACCGAGGGAGGCATCATGATCGGAAGGGAATACCAGAGCGGAGCTGTCGAACACCCGGCTGCTTCATAACTGAAGTTACCTTGATCGTATAGATATGTTCCCTGCGGCAGGCGCCATTGCTTTTGCCCAGGCATCATGATCGTACAATGGTTGAGTATGCTTGTGAGTATTATGTGGTGAGCGGCTCTGAAGGTGGTTGATAGAAGGGGAAGAGGGGCTCTATCTCGTGATTGGAAGAGGGGAATGACGTTTATACGCCTCGTCGCCTACCCGGCCCTTCCGTCCCCCGCTTTGGAGCCTATACACCACGCTTCATTCAACCGATGGTCAACGGAACGTACCGCCGCAAACCGACTTTGTACACTCCACATCGAGCATGCCGCCATGTCCTACTTCCTATAGGAGATACACGTGTGGCAATAAAGTGGATACGTACAACTGAGTCTAATGCGGTAACGTTGCAATACACGCGGCATCGCCTCAGCAGCTCAGGGGTAAGGTAGACAACTACTCACGGAATTGTGTAGGTTCTCGATGACCTCACGATCAAATTCGTGTCCTTCCTTGCACTGTAATTTTGAAGCCATCTCGAGAGCGTGCAGCCCGCCCTTGTTACCCCTTTCTATGGGGGCTGTTGCGACTTGGAACCCATACAGAAACGAGGTTGCTTGTCTAACGGGTCGGCGGGCGAGGGCTCGGGAGTGTTGACGTGGGGGAGTGAGGACGTGATTGGGCCCCGTGAAACAGAGGACTGGGCTCCATTTCCGCGGGGAAAGCAGTGTGACCGATGCTGACATCACAGCAACGACTTCCTGAAACAAATACAATGGAAGCCCCCAGACTAGAGGCCAAGGAGACCACTCCAAATAATCTCAATAAACGACCTGTCTTTGATGACCAGAACGCTAACTGTGCGGCAGCGGGATGCCATCGCAGACTCCAAGATATTTGTCCATCTCACGTACGGGCATCGGTTATCGGCGGCAGTTTGGGGCGATCTCGGCCTGGGGAAGCAGCCGGTGTCGGAGGGTTCGCCTCTGGGGGTTGGAAAGAGACTCAAAACATCCCGCGAACTTCAGGATGGACTTGAAAGGAAAAAGTCCCTCAAATAAGGCCAAGGAAGTACCGGCCAGGCAGGGTGCTAGGGCCTTCAAGGTCGGCCAACAGAAGCATGACGATCAATTGAAGATAGAATCTGAAAGAAGCAACTGCCAGTTTCAATCCCGATCTGATGATGCGGGGGGTCGGAGAACCCCACTTAAATAAAGATTAAGGTGGCTTGGCAAGATGAAACTGGGGAATTACTCAGTGAAGACGCGAGTTTTGTGACTTGTCAGAAGTCAAGGAGCAGAAGCGTTAAAAACAAAAGAAAGGAATCGGTTACAGTTGGATCCTAGGCACAGAACCTTACTACTTGAAGAAATGTGATAATCCAATAAGCTCAAGAATACACGGTCTCGAGTTGCAGATGACGGGTTAGGGTTGCTATCGTCCGGATAAAGTGTTGGCTAGCGCCTGCAGTTGCCGTGATTTACGTGATTTGTTCTTGCCTCACACTGACTCGCCGCGGAATCCGGTTTTGAGCTTCAATTGTCCCACACTTCAAAGCTTGAGGAAGGCTCAAAAAGGGACGGCCGGCCATGCTGAACTCACGTGTTGGTACAACACTGCTGCAGTCACTTACCCGACACACACTTCCTCGGCAGGCTCGACCATTATTATCGTCGTCAACCCGTTTCGCAGCGCCCAATCTCAAAAGTTCGTTCGCCTCATCTGCTGTCCGTCAAGCCGCCGACCCTAATAATAGCCCCAACACCAAGCCCGACTGGCGCGCCATGGCCGAAAACGACATCACGCAATACCTGCGTCAGACGCACGACCGCGTCTTTGAGCACAACTGCCGGTGGGCCGAGGACTGCAAGGCCAAGGACCCAGACTTCTTCGTCAAGCTCTCGGCGGGGCAGAACCCCGAGTACCTGTGGATCGGGTGCAGCGACTCGCGCATCCCCGCCGAGCAGATCACGGGTTTGGAGCCCGGCGACGCGTTTGTGCACCGCAACATTGCCAACCTGGTGCTGAGCACCGACCTCAATGTTATGAGCGTCATCACGTACGCCGTCGAGCACCTCAAGGTCAAGCACATTGTCGTGTGCGGTCACTACGGCTGCGGCGGCGTCAAGGCCGCCATGACGCCAAAGGACCTGGGCCTGCTCAACCCCTGGCTGCGCAACATCCGCGACGTCTACCGCCTGCACGAGAAGGAGCTCGACGCCATCGCCGACGAGGACGCGCGCTACAACCGCCTGGTCGAGCTCAACGTCTACGAGCAGTGCCGCAACGTGGTCAAGACGGCCTGCGTGCAGCAGTCGTTTGCCAAGAACAAGTTCCCCGTCGTGCACGGCTGGGTGTTTGGTTTCAACGATGGCCTGCTGAAGGACCTGAAGATCGACTTTGAGGGCATCCTGAAGGACATTCAGAAGATCTACAACTTGACCGAGAGCTGAAGGAATAAATGGCCTCGTGTTTGTGAGGTTAGTGTAGGTCTTGTCGGAACGAAGCCGCCTTGATGGCTGCATTCAACGGACCCTCGATGGTTGATTGGTGCCAGCACTGCAACCCCTCTTCCTTACCTACTTAGTCCTCTCCCATGCCCATCAACAGCATGGAAAAAATCAAGCACTTTTACCACCTTTCAAATCAATTCACTGCTTTGACTCGGAATAGTTTTTTCCCGCGCACATCTCAGCGGTCATCGCCCTGCAGGTTCCAACAGGTCTCCGAGGTGTCTTGTGTTGTTGATGGCCAGAGCCTCTGGACTTGGAAAGTCATACGGTCTAGGGCTCCGGGCTCACTACTCACCTTTCACCTGCGGAACTCCGAGAATAGACTGGTGCATCGCGATGAACTATGCCCACATGTCCTTGCATTGGAACGTCCAACGCCGCCAGTCGTGAGGCAGAGTTGTCATCTTCAATAGCCATCGGACGATCCCAATGCTCCGATACACAGCGTCACCGGCCCCGGGTCGCCGCCAACCCTTGTTCAGAAAACAGTTCAAGTTTTGGCATCGCTGTTGGCGGTTCTACACTTCGCCGGGGCAAGGTAGCCTGGCGACTTGGGAATGGCGGAGCATGCGTTTCCGGCGTCCGGGATATCAGGATCCACCACTCGGAGACCTGAAACACCCTCCGGCAAGCCAACCTCATTGGGATCGCTACTCCGTCGCCTAGTAATGTAGGTATGTGGAGGACAAGCGACAGAATCGACCTTCATTTCGGTAGTAAGTCCAGTCTGTGGAATACTTGATACTAGGTCAGCGAGATGGGGGAGCTATAAATCTCACATGCCTCTCCTAATGCGTCAAACTCGAGACTAGTACTCTGGGAATCATCACTTGATTGCACTCACTGTTAGCAACAGATATCTGCACTCAACATGCGAGCCTCACAGACTTGGGGCCTTGCCCTGAGTCTCCTGAACGGCGTTATTGCCAAGAACATCTACGTCTCCCCAGCAGGCAAAGGCTCAGGTACGCTCGAAAGCCCCTACGGATCTATCCAGAGTGCCGTCAACGCCGCTGCCGCTGGCGACACCATTTTCCTTCGAGGAGGCACATATGCGCCGTCTGCCAATATCCAAATCAGCAAGAGTGGAACCAGGACAGCTCCCATCTCCGTTCGGCCGTACCAGAATGAGAAGGTCATCATCGATGGGGAGAACATGCCTGGGTAAGTGCGGCATGAGCAGAGTTGGTTAGTCACAGTCTGACACATAACAGAACGCCAAAGGCGCTCAACGAAGCACTTCCCAATGCTGAGCGAGGCATCTTCCACATTCAAAACGCCCAGTACTGGGCGTTCTACAATCTTGAGTATGATAGATCTTGACGCTTGACAGTCTTTAGCGACTCACCATGACCCCAGGCTGATCAACGGGCCATACGGGATCTACGCCCGTGATGCTTCTCACAACTACTACGAAGGGCTCTCGACGCACGACAACTACGAGACGGGCTTCCAACTCGAGGGCGCCTCGTCGAACAACACGGTCCTGAACCTCGACTCGTACCGGAACCGGGACCCGCGCAAGAACGGAGAGAGCGCCGACGGCTTCGCCTGCAAGAGCGGCTCGGGCGAGGGCAACGTGCTCCGCAACGCCCGGCTCTGGGACAACGTCGACGACGGCCTCGACCTGTTCATGTTTGGCTCGCCCGTCGTGCTGGAGGAGGTCTACGCCTGGGGCAACGGGTACAACCGGTGGGGGTTCGCGCCGTTCGAGGGCGACGGCAACGGCTTCAAGCTGGGCATCACGGGCAACCCGCCCGCCAACCACGTCGTCCGCAACTGCATGGCGTTTTCCAACCTGAAGAAGGGCTTCATCGACAACGGCAACCCAGGCTCGCTGACCATGGAGCGTAATACAGCCTGGAATAATGGGGATTTGGGCTTCCACATGCGCAGCTCGTCGTCCACCCTGCGGGCCAACATTGCCGTATCCAACGCCGGGAGCTCGCAGGTCAGTCTCGTCAGCTCCGTCAAGGCGTCAGGCAACTCCTGGCAGTCGGGCTCCTGGTCCAACAGCTCGTTCGCCAGCAGAGATCCTGCCACGCTCAAGGGCGCCCGCGGCTCGGATTGCAAGGTTCGGCCGAGCAACTTTCTGCTGCCCACGTCGGGCGCTGCCATTGGGGCGACTACGCAGCAGGAGGTTTGACGCCGTCTGGGCAGTCAAGGGAAATTGTAGTGATGTATCGTTCTTATTAGGTGGAGATAGCTGAAAACTTGGCCGCTTCAACGCTGACGTGAGATTACTTCTTTGAGCCAAGTGTATCTCTGATTGGAGGAGCTATTCATCGTTCGGTGGGTACATGTGAATTCTCTTCAAATGGAATGGAAGCAATACCTCTCAGATCTTTCATAACGGTTTCAGCCCCAGAATAGTTTGCCATGCCAGCACTGTTCGATGATGGTCCCAGTTGAACCAAGAAATGCAGTCAAGGAAGTCCGGTTCATATATTGGGCACGGATTTTGTTATCGTCCAGTTCTTCGTAAGGAAGGTGACCGGTCAGAATCTCGTAGAGCACACTGCCGAGTGCGAATAAATCGGCCTGGACGGACAGACGAGGCCCTGGAAACTCATGGCTCGGGGTGACAACAACTAGCAGTGGCGAGCCGTCAATTAAAGACCCGGCAAAATCAGCCACCTTGACGTTGAGGGAGGCGTGTAGCAAGATGTTTGCGCATGTCAAGTCTCCGTGGATGACGCCGGCGTCGTGGACAAATCTGATGGTCTATGCGACCTGAATGGCCCAGCGTAACCGCTGCGCAGGACCGGCGTCGCTGGCTCCAAGGTGCGACCGCAAGTTGTGAAGAGAAGCGTATTCCAAACGGACGACCGACTCGAAGACGCCATGGTAAGTCGACAACCCCGGATGGCCGCCACGTCGTACGAACATTTCGTACACGTCGCGTTCTCTCTGCATGCGCAAAACGCAATCTCGTTGTGATCGAAGGGTACCTTGACAACGGTATTGGAGGACTTGTCGAGAACGACCAGGCCGGTAGTTCCCCAGCCGACCACGTCACCTAATCCATACCCCGAGGGATGGTACATCTCGTCGTCGACAGTAAATTACATATGTGCTTGGTGTCAAGATTGTTAGATACCTAATTACCTTAAAGGATTCTGATTTTGGATCAGGCTGGCGTCGGGCGAAGTCCCAGACTGCGCCCGGGGACATCTCTGACGAAAGATGGGCCTGTTAATGCCGCTTGAGAATTCGACAGTTCTAGGTCGTTTGGGTATCAGCCATCGGGCAGATTGAAGCATTACAGGTTGTGATGGGCGTGTCTTGTCCTGCGTCGTCGTGGAAGCCACTCAAACACACCGGGAAATCCTGCTGGGGCCGCACGGACGCACCATTAGTGTACTCCACCCATTTAGCGAGATTGACCAATCCCAAACATCCCAAGGAGCGTCGCAATTGGCAGCTTTTCCCAACGAGGGAGAGCCAATCTCGGGTCTGTCAGCATCTCACTCACCCAGCTGAGGCGCGGCTTGTAGGATGGAGGGTTGTGCCGGAGGATGAAAAGGCTCGCGATGGCCGATGCAACGTATATGCTCAGCTTGCGACCTTGTTCTGTATTTTGTCTTCTTCAGGGTTCATTCAAACGTGAGCCGCGGTGTCGACCGCCACGGCTTTTTGTCTTTCCTCCGCTCAAATTCTCCTGTCTTTGTGCACACGCTCCTTCCATAACCGGCCATCTTCTGGTTCTCCATTTTCTGCACCTCAAAATGGTCTTCAGACTGCCAACCGCTCTCTTAGCGGGCCTCTCTGCATTTCTCTTCGCTCCAGCCGCGCGAGCTGCGGGCCTGGAGAGTGTGCTTGCCGGCCAGGCCAATCTCACGATATTCCGCGACCTGGTCAAGAACCACACCGACATCTTTGCAAACCTTCCCAGCGACGTAACGGTCGTGGTTCCAAACGACAATGCATTCAGGAAACTCGGCAACTGGGAAACCTACAATGAGACTATGGTCGAGGCAACTCTGAAGTACCATATCCTTAGCCGGACCATCAGCATGCCCTCCATCGTGAAGGGGGACTCTATCTGGGCCTCGACGGCTTTGACAGACGAGAAACTCACCACCGTGGAGGGTGGCCAGCGTTTGATCCTCACCAAGCAGCCAGGAGGTGAAGTCGTCTTCACATCCGGGTTCGCCACTCGAGGTACCGTTGTCGTCGAGGACCTGAGCTTTGACAGCGGCCTCGTCCAGGTCATCGACTCCGTCATGCGCGTCCCCGAGAGCCTCGAGTCAACTGCTCGCAGCGCGTACACCGACCTGACAGCCTTCGTCGGCGCTCTCTACGCCGCCGACCTGATGAGCGAGCTCGCCGCCCAGAAAGACGTCACCATTTTCGCGCCGCACAACGCCGCCTTCCAGCAGCTTGCCGGCGCGCTCGAGATCATGGACAAGGAACAGCTGAGGCGCATCCTGCGCTACCACATCGTGCCGGGCAACCTGACGCACGTCTGGGAGCTCCAGAACGCGAGCACGCTCGCCACCGCCGCCGACGACAACGGCAAAAAGCAGGTGTCCATCACGCGCCACACCAACTTCGTCTTTGTCAACTCGGCCGAGATCATCCAGACTGACATCCTCATCTCGAACGGCCTTGTCCACATGATCGACAACGTGCTCAACCCGGACGAGTCGGACGCCCACCCGGACGTTAATCTCACCACCGCCCAGCCGCCTGTCTTTACGCTCGTGGGAGCGACGGCTACGGGCACCACCGTGCCGACGCCGTTTGCTTCGGATTTGCCGTGTACGGCCAGCTGCCCTGTTGTGTCGCAGCCGACTGGTACGGGCACTGCGGCTTCCACGGAGCCAGCTGGGAATGGCCGGGGTTCCAGCTCGAGCTCGAGCAATGCTGGGGTTGCGGCTGCGAGGTGTACAGGACTGGCTAGAGCAAGGCTTGGGATTGGGTTGGCAGTTGGTGCTATAATGGTGAGGCTGTGAGGCTGCTAGGTTTACTTCATGTTTAGAGTGAGAGGAAATAAGACGTGGGTAGGTGCTGGATGGTGTTGAGTGTTGATACCCCTTTTCGATTCGCGACATCTGTTTGTTATGTTTCAGTTCTTCACAGTTGCAATGATGTTTCTTTGTTTCAGGGACATGCAGATCTGTAATTGTGCGATATCACGTTGCACCATGACATGGCAGGGTCTCACCCAGGCTAGTCGTGTGCACAGGCAGTGAGCCTCGGTCTTGACGGAGGTTTGGTCTATCATCCCACCACATTGTCCGTCCTGATTCTTTTCATGACCGAAGCGCTACCAGGTTCAAAGATCTGTCGATACCGTGCTTGGACGTCTGCTCCTGAGCGACTAGTCATCCAGCCCCTAGCCGGTGCTCCCTCGCTCCTTGGAACCCCTCGGTGCCTCACCACCTCACGGCCTCGTGGCCTGGAGGCCTCGACCCTTCGTCACTTAACGCTTCCCCTGGGCACGGCGACGACCTCAGAGAGAAGAAACCCGCTGCTTTTTGCGGGTGATATTCTAAACAATCACTAGTACGTATATTATCTCAACTTGATCGTGCGACTCTGACCGCAATTGTTCCAGCACCAGCAACCACTAGCCCGCTGAGGGAGTTCATTCATGCTTTCCACACCGCGACCTTCACATAGCCGCTGCGACACTCGACAGCAGTTTATTTCTTTCAGCAAGACACCGAAATACCGCTGAGAAAATCCCAGTCATGATGGCAATGATGTGCGTTAACCAGCATAGTCCGCATCGCCTGCGCCTGGGAATGGTATACCGCCTGCCCTCGCTGAGACGCCTCCAGCTCCTTCTCGCTCTCTTGGCAATTTTCCTTGTCTACGCGGGTCCCCGGGTCTCGGTCACTGCGTCTTCTTCGAACCCTCCTACGGTCTGCCCTCGTGACCTTGTCCCAGACCCAGAGTACAACCTCGACAACCCGTACCACCACCCCTCCACCCGCAGCACAACCCCGAGAGGCAACCCCGAGACCGGCAGCGGCGACCTGGACATGAGCCTGAAGGATCTCGACGCAGATATCACGAATCAAGAAACGGACAACAGCAGCGGTGCCAACAAAGCAATGTCTCCAAACCACGCACTCACAGCCCAAACAACCACAGTCACGGCCACAACAGCAACCGCAACCGCACCGCCAGCAGTCCGGCGCGCCACCGAAACCAAACCAAGAACAACGACACAAACCTACCTCCCCTTCCCCGTCGCCCTGTACGACACGCCAGGCCACGCCATCGCCTCTGGCCTGTTCCTCGGCGCCGCCGCGTCGGCGCTGCTCTGGATCATCGGGTGCATCGTCTTGGTGTACACGAAATGGATCTGGCGGGGTGTGGGGGATGTCCGGAGGGGACTGCAGCCGGTGGATCGGAACATCAACATGAACCGGGAGGGAGCGCTGAGGGCGCAGGGGCTTCAGGTTGGGCTTGGATATTAGTTGAGGTCTGGTGCTGGTGTAGGGGAAAGGCTTTGGTTTAGAGGGGCTGTGTCGCAGGTGCGAGGGATGGATGTGTTGATGGTGGCTGCTGAGGGGAGGGATAGGGGTCGGCCATTGTGCCGGAGGGGTTGGACCGCGGCTTCGTCTGGAAGGACATGGAGTTTGAATCAGGGAGTTGGCTCCGTTGGGGAGGGTTGGCCTGAGCAAAGCTGGTAACGTTATTGAGCTTTTGCTACTGCTACGACGGCAAACTGGAGGAGACCACACAAGATGCACTATCAGAGTTGTTGAAGGGTAGACCAGCAATCTATTTTGACATGTTCCTTCAACAACTGTGGAGCTTACGCTATTTTCATTACGGCTTGAGATAACCACGAGCCTTCAAGCCGTCTAGGACCCTTTCTGCAACATCTATAGCAATTCCGGCGAGTCGGCGTGCCGAGTCCTCCCCATCGCACAGCGGATCAAACGATGCAATCGTCAGTGCTACCGGCAGTGCCAACGGTATTGTCCACTCCCAGATAGCCCGTATACAGCCTTCCATATCTTTCTTAAGAAGGCCACCCGGAGGCGTTGCAAACTGGTTTGCCTTCCCCACGGTCCCATCCAGTACATCAATGTCAACGTGAAGTAGAGTCGCGGTATAATTGTCCCCTGCAAATCTCTCAAGCAGTTCATTCTTCAAACCATCTGCGAAATCCGCGCTTTTTCGTTCGCCGCCCCAGACGACGCCCATGTCCGAGGCCTCAACACGGGCCCGCTCCAGGTCATTCACGTCTCGCATCCCGCAATGTACCACGTTCCGCAACAGAATGGGCCGGAAACCTGGAATCGTGTCCAGCAGCGCCTTCCAGCACTCGCCAGCCATCATGGCGATCCCCTGGCTATCGAAATACCCGCTGACCACGGAGTCAGGAATGTTGTAGTCGTCATGGGCATCAAACCAGACGCACCCGAGCGCGTCGTCTTTTGCCTCCGTGAGATCGTTGGAACCCCACAAACCGGCAGCGACGCCTACGCTGGCGCAGCAGTTCCCGGCGAGGACAATGGGGAACGAGGATTGGTTGCGGGCTGCGGTGACGGCCCGCGAGAGGCGGCGCAGGATCTCAAAGGTGCGGCCGATCTCGCCTTCAAAATCGTCGGCTACGGGCGGGATTTCGACCTCATGTACGGTGACGCCGGAGTCGCGGAGGCGGGAGAGAAGGCCTGCTGATTTGATGTACTCGGGTCCTTCGCTCACGCGGCTGCGGTGGATTGGACTTGCGCGGAGGCCGACGTGGTACGGAGCCGAGATGATGGTGACGGAAGTCAACGGTGTGGCCGCGAAAGACATGTTGTCTTCGATTGGAATGAGGTACTCGAGCAATCGTGATCCTTTACGAGCTTGTGTCTTCAACCGCCAGAGAGCAGGAAGTCCGAGTGAGTTGATGATAGAGAAAGTTCGCATTCAACCTAGAACCTAGAAGGCCTGCAGTTTCTAGAGGCCCCGCTTCGGTACTTCTTGAGAACAATTGTGGGGGGGGATTAAGGGAGGAACTTCGGTGACTCACAAGCAGTGAGCTGCTGCTTCTGGAATGGCATGATCCACTCCTGAAATCAAACGCTCACATTTCAGAAAGGCGTTTCTCTCACGGGGAGAATTTCCTCCGTCGCTGACCTCAAATCGCCTCAGGTGAGAGGTCGCCCTGAAATTCCTTGTCAACTGAAGAAAATGGAAACGTAGCATCGACCCGATCCTGCGCACCAACCAGGTTGATTGATACCAACACACATCAAAGAATCCTCCCCGCCCTTATGCTCGTCTCAACCGAGCGTGTAGGCACCTACGGACATGGCTCCTGCTAGGCCGGCAGGAGCAGGCTGCTCAAGGCTGGCACTGTTGTGATTGAGTCTGTCTGGAGAGCTACAGTACGAGTACGAAAGCCGGATCTGCTCAACAGTGGAAAGCTTCATGATCATCATGGTCAGGGGATGATGCGAACAAGAAAAGGGGACAAAGCCTCTCGATCGGTAGTACAGTAAGGGAAGATATCGTCACTTCCATGGGCTACAGCGACCAAGACACCACTTACTGACATCTCCGTCTCCAGACCCCCTGATCACCGCGTCAAGCAATCGGCGCAACTTGGATCTTATCCAAGTCAGCAGACACCACAGACCAACCATCGCTCGTCGCGCCATTCCCACTCAGATACTCCCCCGCCGAGACATTCCCCCTCAGAATCCACTGCACCCAATGCGCGCCAATAACCCCAAATTTACCCCCATTAGCCTGGGTATACGTCCCCCCATGACCCACCGCCAGGTTACCCTTCCACTTGGGCACCCCCGCGGGCATGGCCGCATAGTCCCGCTCGCCGTTCTGGTACGCAATGTCGGACGGGCCCCCCAGAAAGAAGAAGACGGGCTTGCGAAAGCTGCCGGCCGCCGTATAGTTGGTCAGCAGGCCCGAGTTCCAGATACCGATGCTCTGCACGCGGTCGTCCCAGATTTGCGCGTACGCCTCAATGCCGCCGCAGCTCCAGCCCGCCGCCGCAATGCGCGACGCGTCAATGCTGGCCCACGATCCCGTGCCCGCGACCTTGGCGATGAAGTCAATCGACTGCGTCATGAAGGCCGCCGTGGTCGTGCCGCTGCCGCCCGGCGTGCCGCTTGCGATGACGAGGACGCCGTGCGAGGCCAGCTGGGTCAGGAAGGGCGCCTGGCCTGTGGCGTCGGCCGAGCAGCCGCCGTTGCCCCAGAGCAGGACGGGGAGCTTGGTGCCAGCCGGGACGGTCTTGGGGGCGTAAAAGGTGTGGCCGCTGAGAGTGTCGGTTGTGTAGTATCCCTGTGGGAAGATTGTGTCAGCAGAGGACATTAGTGGCACAGCGGACACTCGTCTATACCGCTGGCGCAAACGGGCCGGTGCCGACGCTCTGGCTCTGGCGTGTCTCGATGGATACTGGGCTGGCGGATGATAGACCCAGCAGGATCACAGTGGCGAAGGGCGTCTTCATTTTTGGGTAGAGTGTGTGACAGTGTACCCTGGATGTATTTCGACAACAGTAGTGGACTCAATGGGTTATGATCCGTGGCTTGACCATGATGCTTCCTGTGCTTTCGTTTTATATACTGTCTTGGTCATGCTTCTCGCCGGCCTTTCATTTAATATCTGCGGTTACGCATCCAACCTCAAAAGGCAATCATCGACGCTCCTGCGTATGAACATCGACAGATTGCCGCCGCTGAGACCTGATGATCTGGGTTAATCTATTCGCTTCGCAAGGAATGCCAATCTAGTTGGTGCGGTGCTTGATTCAAGCCGTAGATCTGTAATTGTCCCCTGGGTAAACTTGAGGTGCATTAACTACCATTACTTTGCCTTCCAGAACCGTAAAACCCAAATCATTTCCAAGGGCGCTCTCACGGCTTCCGGTTGCCCGTTTCCACCTCGGCATTGTATGACGGCAAACCGCCCGGGAATTCCGGGCTGGGCATACAGAGATCCTACCTCCGTATGGGACGGCCGTGGCCGGTTATATGGGTATTCGGAATCTCCGCCGCTTGTGCTCTCTTCTTGTCTTTCCCTGAGCCAGTCATGTATCTCAAGATACTAGGAACCCTCCTGGGTCTCTCATCGTGTTGGTATCACGGGTATGAAGATCGGCAAACACTACCTAAGTTCGGCTCTCAAGCCGCGATGGTGCTCGAGCACACCTCACTCTCGTTTAGACCGGTAGCAATTCAATGACGTACACGCGGCTGGTTTCCGTTCCGTTGTTAATGCTATGGGTCGATGGGTGTGGATGAAACAACGAAAGGAATAAGAGGGTAAAGAACATCCCAAGAAGGCGATGAGAGAGATCAGTCAAGCGAGGTGATCAAGGGAAGATGCAGTAGCTGGAGGGCTGTGAGCTGTAATAGTAGCCCCACGTGATGAAGTCTAAGCCTGCAATGAATATACAACAGAAGAAAATAAATGTGTTCCATTGCTACAGCCGTCACATCACCGCTTCTCTCTCGAATACCCAGCCTCATACCCTCGCCGAAACGTGACCCTCAGATTCATCCCATGCACCACCAGCACCGCCCACGACTCCACCGTAGCAGGCCTAACACCATCCACCAGCGAAAAATCAAACCTCCTCATCAACTCAACAAACAACTTGCCCACCTCCATATACGAGATAGCGCGCCCAGGACACTGGAACTTTCCCGCCCCAAAAACGATGTCCAGCGCCGACTGCATCCGTCGCAGTCTCGCCTCGTCCTGTTGCGCCCCCGCCGCCGCCTCGAGCCACCGCTCGGGCCGGTAGCAGTGCGCGTCCGCTCCAAAGATGGCTTCGGACAGCAGGATCCCAGGCACGTTGGCGCCGACCTGGGTGCCGCCTGGGACGTAGATGCCCGCGATGGTGTCGCCGGCGGACGGGGAGAGTTTGGAGGGGGAGACGGAGGGCGGGTGGACGCGGAGGGCCTCGCGGACGGCGGCTTGGAGGTAGGGGAGGCGGGATGCTTCGGCGCCGGTGGCGGGGGAGCTGATCTGGCCGGCCGAGATGGCGGCGTCGATTTCTCGTTGGAGGGCGAGGTAGGCTGGTGGTGAGGTCAGGAGGGAGAGCATGGTCATTCGGGCGAGGTTGGAGGAGGCATCTGCGCCGGCGATTCTGGGGATCTCCGTGTCAGCAAAAAGGTAGGTTGATTGAGACATTGGAAGGGGGAGCATGTCTTACATGTGAATGTAAACTTGCTGCATCAGTTCGTCCTTGGTCATGCCGCTGCGGATGAATGCTTGCATCATATCCGCCTGTGGCTCGGCGCCTTCAGCGGTTCTTCGATCGACCAAGTCTTTGGCAAACCTGGGAGCGAATTCGGGTCAGTCATCCCAAGGCCCTTCCGCCCCGTCCGTAATCACAGAAACCATGGATAGAATAGGCAACGCACCCAAACAGAATGCCGAACCCAACCTTATCTCCCTCCCTCGGCACCAGCAGATTCAAAGGCCACACTGTCCGCAACCGATTCAACCACGGCACCAGCCCGGCCACCGTCACCATCTTGAGCGACACATCATTCATCTCCACAAACCGATGCACGTCCTCGTCGCGCGTCAAGAAGCCAAACGGGCTCCCAAACGCAAAATCCCCGACGCAATCCAGCCCCCAGAACTGCGCCTTCTGCGCAAAGTCAAAGTCCGGACGACTCGTCCCCGTCCCCGTCCTGCCGACGACGTACTTGTCCTCAATCAGCCTCACCAGGTTCGCAATCTGCCGGTCGACGGCCGGCTCCATGCTGATGGAGTAGGCCGGCCCCATCTTGGCACGCAGGGCCTTGTGCTTGGCCGGGTCGCGCTGCGAGGCGACATGGGGTTCGCCGTCGTCGTCGGTGACGCGTCCGGCGTCGTAGGCCGGACCCTTGGTGTACTCGGACCGGACGCCCGAGATGCGGCGGACTTCGTCCGGGTCCGAGACCAGGACCAGGTTCGGGCCGATGCGGGTTAGTAGGCCTGGGGGCGGAGTGGCGGCTGTTAGCTTAGATGGTATGCTGCATGTAGATGTCCTTCTCGAACTACGTAGTTTTGGGGTGGAAAGGGAGATCAAGGGTAGGAGGGAGACTGAAAACGAACCGTACTTGTTCCCGGCCTCGATCAGACAGGGGAAGAGTTCCTTGTTCCAGGCTCGTCGTAGGAGCCATAGAATGGAGATATGTGCAGTGGCGGGCCCTGGGACGTGGGCGAGCCTCCTCCATGAGCGGTAGTATGAGACGAAGATAGCCGCTAGGATACCGGCAAGCAAGAGTGTCGCCATTACGGAGGCTGGGCCCCAGCTGGAGGCCACCGTGCTCTCTGAAATGAAGAGAACGCCCATGCCGACGATGGTCTGAGTATTTGGGATGTGTTACAGATAGTCAGACGAAGTAATTCCGGTCAGCCAGGGCTTAACGGACTCTGACGCGGTCCGAGTTGAGGGGGATATAACTCCTTGGAGGGACCATGTCCGATATCGATGGTCCCCCCAATGGATTTTGAGCTGAGTGGCGTACTGCCACCCAGCCCAAGCAAGCCGAGTCTGGATGCCTGGCAGTTGAGCCCTCCCGTATTTGCGGCCATATGTTCCCACCCTTCGCCGGCGCGGAGTCCAGCTCCTGGGGCCGAGTTAACCCAAGCTCGCCGTGCCGCATCTCCGAAGGGAAAAAGACTTGGTTTCGGTGTGATGGTGCTGAACCGTGCCGTGGCTGTGCCATATGTTATCATCACATCACCAGACAGTATCCCGCCGGCATTCACGGCGGGACGGGTCGCAACACGTCGGATACTGCATATTGGTGCGGGCGGCGCAGGCTGATGCTGAATCATGCATGCGGCACGACCCGTATCACAGGTGACGAAACAAGCGAGGTTATTTTACCGAGGGCTTCGTGTAACATTGTGTTGCCGGCGCTTATAGGGCCGCCGCGAGCCGCGAGCTGCAAGTCCCGCCGCAACACGGCAGGCGAGGTAGCATCAGGAGTAATCACGCCTATCACCTGCAGTTAGTGGTACGACAGTGAACGTTGACGTATTGACAGCGTGGATGCGACAAGGAAGGTAAGGCAAGACAAGCAAAGGATTGGTAAATACCGTACATCATGCGACACCCTCGAGTTCTTTCTCCGTCCATTCCCACAACCTCGTTGCCAAGCTCGGGTCCTTGGCAACGGCCGTCTCCTTGTCCGGGACGCCCACAGGCTCATAGTACTTGCCGCTCTCTACACCGGGCGCCGTGGCTGCCCAGAGGTGGTTCCTCACGCCGATAGCGGGAGACACGCAGAAGATGGGGGAGATGGGCGCTGTGGCTCTGAAAAGGAGGCTCTCCTTCTGCAGACCGCGGGCCATGCCTGTGATGATTCGGCCCGGATGCACAGCCACCACCCTGATCTGGGGATGCCGCTTGGCCAGTTCGCGAGCGAACCCGATGACGGCCACTTTGCTCTGGCCGTAGCGTTGGTAGTATTTCTGCGGACCAGCATTAGAACTCTGTTCCCTCGCTGACAAAGCCAAGTTGAAACTCACAATGTCCTCGCAAGGCCCCTTCAATTTATCAAACAAGATACCACCCTTGGGCGCCATAACATGGCCCTCGCTCGACACGGCCACGACGCGGACATCGGCGCCCGGCAACTCGGCCGTGCGCAGCAGCGTCGGCATCAGCAGCCTCATCAAGAGCGCGTGACCAAGGTAGTTGATGCCGAAAGCAATCTCGTACCCCTCGGCCGTCGTGCCCGGCCGGACGCGCATGATGCCGGCGTTCAGCACAGCAATGTCGAGCCGGTCCTCGGCGGCACGGAGCTGTGCCGCGGCCGCGCTGACCGACTGGAACGACGCGAGGTCGATCTCCAGGTAGGTGACAGGCGCGCAGTGCTCGTCGGCCACGGCGTCGCGGATGCCGCGGACGACTGAGGCGCCGTGGTCGGCGCAGGGCAGATCGGCGATGTAGATGCGCGCCGGCTTGTGGCGCGCGAACTCGATAGCTACCTGCTTGCCCAGGTCGCCGGCGCCGCCTGTCACGAGGATGACTTTGCCTGCGAGACTCGGTATGTCGCGGGCCGGGTCGAAGGCGACGCCGCGCTGGTTCCCCGATGCGAAGAGGGTGACGCGCGCCGACGCGATTAGGGCTTGGAAATCCAACATTTTGAAAAGCACGGCAATGGTGACGGCGGTCAGAGCGGCGACGATGGCGGAAACCATTTCCGAGGTGGACGTGGGTGGTGGACTGAAAAGGCTGCCATCTGTGGGCGCGTCAAATCTACAATCGTTCGGAAATCTCGCTTGTTAGGTGTAATTGTACGGACAGAGTGTGTATTGCGTACATACTTACCTTACACTACTCCTCACACATACCACCAGCCAAGACATACAAGCGCTCAGGGGGTGGCGCCTGCATCTGGCGGTTACAGCTGAGAGCTCATTTCTATCACAACAATCGGTCCTTTCCAGACGAGGTCGCGTCGAAGTTGTGGCGCAGACACAGCTTTACCGCCCTTTGTTAAAGTAGATTAGGCACCTTAAGTTATCTTACAGAGAGAATGTAATGTTGCAGCTGACAGCATGGAGATCTGACTGTCCCATGTATTAGATACCCGACAACATTGGACGGGTTGGGTGCTGCGCCGCGGATACTTTCGCAGTGTAACCGGACTTTTCACACCGCTAACGCGATTGGCGGCGCCTTTCACTCTTTTCATCGCTGACTTGGACCACCCACCCCACCTGCCGTCCACCATGTGCCGCAATCTCATCATCAGCCCAGTCACACGAGACGGGAAACCAGTGGCGCGGCTGCCGGCTATCCAAGATACCGCTCGTAGGCAACTACCTGAACCGCTATTCCATCACAATGGCTTCTTGCGGGGGCACACAGGGCCGTACTCGCTTCTATTTTCTGGAGTGCAGCTAATATATGCCAGACTGCAAGTGCTGGGCACGCCGCACACTCCCTTCTCCGAAAAGAAGCGACTTAAAGATGGTTGAAGTTATTCATAAGTCCCCTTGGCTCCCTTCAACGATGACCTGAGCAATCTTCCGAGGCATCAAGTCTTTTTACCTCCAACAAGACTCTAATCTGTCGTTGGTCTGCCCGCAAATTCCCATCCTACCAAGCCGACATGTCCTCGCAACAGATAGGACTCTACCAGACAACAAACGAGCTAATTTCAGAGCATGGCTTTTACGTTCGTCTTCCTAATCTCAGCCGACACGATACCAACCCAACCCTTCATTCCCAGCCAATACTGACGCATTTTCAATCAAACAGGCCGTTCTCTGGCTCGGCGTCGCCCTCAGCGCCACCGCCTTCGCCTTCCGCTGCTACATCCGCGTGCACTACATGCACCACATCCACTCGAGCGACTACCTGATGGCGCTCGCGCTCGCCCTGCAGACGGCCTTCGCCGCGCTGGGGCAGGCCTACCTCGGCGACGTCTACCTCATGACTCGCGTGCAAAACGGCGTCGTCGCCCCGGGGGCCGATTTCCTCGACCGCATGAAGCGCGGTCTGCTCGGGGACGGGATCATGCTGCTCGTGGCGATTGCGGGGATCTGGGTTGTCAAGATGAATTTCTTGCTGTTCTTTTATAGTCTTGGCTCGCGCATTACCTTTTATAGGGTCTTTTGGTGGGTGGCGGTTGTGGTGGTGTTGGGGTGTGGCGCGGCGGCTGTGGGAATGCTGCCGTTTGACTGCTTGTTTGGAGAGGTCATGCATGTTGTCACGCAATGTAGTACCGAGGGGAGCGTCGCGGCGATCTATACCCGGTACAAGGTGTCGGTGGTGGTGGATTGCGTGTCGGATGCACTCAGTAAGTTGTCCCTTGCCCCTGGTTTTGTGAGTGGACTGTGTAAGACCCAGGCTTACACAAATGACAGTTATCTGCTTCCCCATCTCCATTCTGTTCAACACGCGCATCAGCTTGAGACAAAAGATCATCCTTTCGAGCATCTTCTGCCTCGTCGGCTTCACCATCGCCGTCACCATTGTCCGCGGCAGCATTTTCGGCGGCGTATACAAGGAGCTCGACAAGATCGACCGCAAGGTCTTGGATACGGCCTGGGCTTTGTTTTGGTTTTATATTGAGTTTATGGTGTGTAAGTACTTGCTCTAGATCCAAACCCAGCTGTTTCAAGAGGTACTGATCCCGCGACCGCAGCATTCATTGTCGCTTGCCTCGTCTCCTTCCGCTCACTCTGGGCGCACAAGGAAGCCAGAGCCCGGGCGCGCGCCCGAGAGGAGTTTGACAAGCAGGAGCGCATCCGGCAGCACAGGCCCTCGGATCCGTCCCACAAGGGCGACAGCGGGCTTCGCGCAAAGATGCGGCAGTTCCATGACACGCTGCTCGACACCTTCAACGACGAGGAGACGCTCTGGGAGCGCGACGTCCTGCCCAACGGCCCGCCCTCGGGCAAGCTGTCGGTCGACTTTTCGACCTACAGCCCTGGCATGTTTGGTTGGAATCATGAGAGCAGTTACCATGTGCAGGTGGAGCGGTCGAGGGCGGACTCGGATTCGGTGCAGTCGCTGCAACCGGCGAGGTTGGCTGATTCCCATGTATGAGCCATTCTGTGATGATGATAAGTGTTGCTGCTTGGGTGGTTACCATAGCTATCTCTCTCAGGTAATTTTTGCCTACATGAAACTGCCGATCTTATTTGTATTTCAGTTCTCCAACATACGCCTGTACGCGTCTTGGGAGAGCCTCCAAGCCCAGGCACTTTCATTCAGAATTGTGATGTGCATACCTGAGTCTGCCAATAGGCAGAAACCATGGATGTGTTTATGTACTCGGCTTATGGGAACTATGTACATATGAATCAAAGCCTTTCTTCTTCCTTTTCCCTGACCTCTGAGTCTTCCATTCCCCCTCGACCCATGACAACACCGAGACACTCGACACTCGGGCGTATCTCCGTGTTACTCGCAGATTGGCTTAGAGACACTGAGCGTACCAGGGGTTCTGGGTCTTGCAGGCGTAAGGGGGTGCGCAAGCCGTCGGGCCGGTCCACTGTTCGATGTACCTTGTCAGTTGTCCGCCCATCTCACAACAAATTCTAGGGAGAACATAACGTAAATTACATACCTGCTGACCCCCACACTGACCCCAATGAGTCTGAGTTGCCTGAGACGCGGCAGAGGTGGTAGTGGTAATCTTAGTCACGGTGGTGGTAGAAACAGGCCTCGTCGAGGTCCGGAGCGTGGTCGTCGTCGACGACGGCCTGGTCGACGACGACGACGAGCTTGAAACGCCGCCACCCGGGACGTTAACTGTTGATCCAATATCGCCCCAGCGAATGTTGGAGAAGACGACGTGCGTGTCCGGGTAGTTGGCCAGGATGTTGGTCGGGTTGCCCTCAGTGTCGGAGCAGGGCCCGTTGCTGCCGGCGTCGAGCCAATTCATGTAGCCCGAGGCGTCGTTCCAGATGCTGAAGGTCAGCACCATGCCGCGGCCCAGCGCCTGTCCCATGCCGGCCAGCCCGCCGAACGAGGCCGCCGACGAGCAGGCCGACGCCGAGATGATGTCGCCCCCCGGCGCGGCGCTGGGGATTGTCTTACCGTTCTGCACGTAGACGCGCTGAATCTGGCTGAGGCTGCCGCTGGTGGTCCCGTCGTTGGTGATGAAGCGCGTAATGACGGTGAAGGGCTTGGACGTGTCGAGCGTCAGGCCCGGGCCGTAGTAGTTCGTGTAGCCGCGGTTGTAGGGGTTGAATCCGCAGCCGCCCTTGTCGCAACTGCCGTTGGCGCAGGGATGGGGCGTGAAGGCGTTGGCGCGGGCGTTGGCCTCGAGGATGTCCATCTCGTTGCAGCAGGAGCCTTGGCCGTTGGTGTTTAGAGTACCGTTGTTCCACGTCTGGACGGGGCACTGAGCATCGCAGTATCCCGAGCCGTAGTTGGCTCCACCCGTGTTGTATGGGTTCCGGCCGCCGGTTCTGTCCATCTCGCCGAGGTACAGAGCGGCGTTCTCTCCGCAGGGCAGGGTGGAGAGGTCGACGTCGAAGCTCAGCTCCTGGCCCAGGAGCTTGAGCATGACATAGTTCCCATCGGACCCGAGGAGGTAGGCACGAGGAGAGACGCTGTTGGTCTGGCCGTTGCTGCCCTTCACGTACTGCCTCATGGTCAGGGTGCTGCCGGACGTTGCGATGCCGCTGCTCGTGTAGTCGACGCCTTCGACCACACAGTTCTGGGCACAAGTCGCTTCATCAGGGCACAGTGTCCTGTTGAGGCCGCTAGAGGTGGTGCAAGACGTGCCGCTGGCGGTGTGGAACCAGCGATAGTTCCAGTCGAGCACCACAGACGTGTCTTGCTGGACGCAGCCGCTGCTGGTTGTGCACTTCCAGGTGGGAAGTTGTGGGTGCACTTCCGGGGTCAAGGTACCGGGCTGCTGGGCGTTCACCAATGGCAAGATTGCCAGCGCCGCCGTGGCAAGAATGTTGCGGCCCATTGTGTTGTGCAACGGCTTGTCTTGCTGTCCAAGAGACGGGAAGCGAAGTCGAGTACCTAGTTAAAGGAAGCGTTGAAGATCGAAGTGGCTCGGAGAAGTCACTCTGCTGAGGAAAGCTCCATCCTATTTATGCGCTGGGTGCTGGACCCATGATGTTTGTGCTAGTTTGTGTCAGGAGATCATTGTCCATGATAGCCGTCACCCTGGGCCCTGATCCCCTGCTGTTCGGGCCGTAGAGCCCTGGAATGCTACCCAAGGAAACCAAGGCTTTAACCGCATCTTGGCGGCCTCGGAAGCAATGCCCAGAGAAGCTTGTTTTCTCTCATGTTCCGGGTTACCCATCAGAGGGCTGCCCCACGCTGGCGGTGGAGGCGTTGGGGGAGAATGCTACTCAACTTCTCCACGCCTCTGGCGCCGTCCTCGGCAACCGTGCCTATATCCCAGCCTGCAAATCGGGAACGAGCTTCGAGCGCCGGTTTGAAAGCCAAAACAACCGTCCTCCTCTATTTCGCCGAGATCGAACAGGGACAAGCAATCATTGGCGAGAAAGTCACCTTGCAGCATACTCCATCTTGGTGCCGTGTTGATACTCGGAGTATGACTGACGCGTGCGAGGCTCGGGCGCGTGAATGGACAGTTCCTTGATGGATAAATTGGTAGGAATGTCTCCACTCGGAAAAGGTCAAAGGATGCCGACCTGGGTGATAGTGAGCCGCATGAACCACACCGTGACACAGGAGCTCACAAGGGCCAATAAGTGGATTCAACGGAAATGACAGGACCGAGGTTACCAGGCAGGCGACACCCAATGCTCTCATATCATATCAGACCCTCACGCAGCCACAACGTGATTCCGTTCATCTTGCCAAACAGTGGAGCTGCAACTTAGTTATTCCCGGTTATATGTGAGAAGGAGCATGAAGGGACGGCTCTTTGTTGCGACATGGGATGACTGTATGCCATTGTCAGCCACCTTTTGCATGGTCTACTCAAGGGACATGTAGCAAATCAATACCAGCAGCTCAGGCAGCAACAGTGTACTAGTGACGTTTTTCTTTTACGTGAAAGACTAGAACTTGACACAAATCGACGTGATTGACGAGACTTCCATTGACTGACTAGCCATACTCAAGCTGAGAACCCTGAATCCGACGCCTTCCTTGTTCATACAAACATTGAGTTAGTAACTATCACACGTTATAAAGCCCGAACACTCAGTGTCTCAATGTATCGAACATTCTGTCATGTTGAAATTGGCGATATACCTGCGAACCACTATTCACCCCGGGTTCACAGCAACTGCAACTTGACATTCTAGAACTGACTGTTTTCAGATTCAAAGGTACAATCAGCTCCGGTCGTAAGTCCCCGGACCAAAAGTGAGTCCCATTTGGAATTATGTACTAACTTAGCGCATAAGAACCCCCTTTTCTGCCCACTCCCGGTACATGTGTGAACGTCCAGTCTTAAAACTTGAAACCTTTCATCACTGGCTCAAGAGTATTCAAGTCTCAACTAAAATCCAAGCTACCTATAGCATATACGAGACTGTAGTGAAAGTTCGATGTCAAGATAGGCAACTAAAACACGTGCAATTCTTTAACAAGCTAAGCTGCGTTATGTACGGTAGGGACGGACCTAAGGCACATATTCCTTCTATGACTGAGAACATGGTTGGTTGTCTTTGAAATCATTGACTATACCCATGACAGCTGTTTGCGTCAATGTTTGAAATAGTCATCGCTCTTAACAGAAGAATAGGTATAGAGGGCCGGTGAAAGGGAGCTTGGCGGTGCATGTGGACTGAGAACAGGAGAGTGTGAGGATGATATTGTGGTGTTGGAAAAGGTTCGCGGCTTAGGAGAGGCAGAGAAGCAGGTTGAGTTGGAGGATCTCTTCTCACAATGCAGCAAGAGGCATGTTACCTGTTGTCGTTCTCTTCTAATCAATTGTGAAATCTTGTGGAGAAGGCCAGGAGGCTTAGAAACCATCCAACCGGACAGGATATCCGTGGCTCTCCTGGGGATGGTCTCCTTTGTGACTTCGGAGGACGGGCATGCCATATCTGTTGTCGGTCTGGAAGTGAGCTGCGTGGTCGGGGTGAATTTCCTTGTAATAAGGCCGACCTGAAGCTTCCTCTAACAGACAATGGCTCAATCACCTTCACTAAGACACAGACCATGATTGCGGCCTATCCCGCGTCAACCCTCCGTGCCCTCCGCCGGCCCCAAGTTCTGCAAGTTCACCTCCGGTGACCATATCGGGCCTGAGAGGCCTGTTTACGGCCCTCGCGGAGTCCCGTCTCCGCTTATCTCTCCATCCCCGTATGTGCTCAAGCACTTGAATACTCTCATTCTTTACAGAACTGGAGAAAGAGCTGAGTTCCGCTTTCTGTTCTCTTCTCACGCTTATCACGCCACAAGCAACCTTCCTCCCGCCGCAGCACTTTCGCTCGCTCGCTCGCTTTTCGTTCGTTTCTGATCAAAAGAAAAAAAAAAAAACACAAGAACACGAAGCCATGGTACGTAACTCGTCTTTTGACGCATGAGATTATCGTCGGAGCCATTTCTTTGTATTTCCCACGTCGGGGCGGTCGAGGGCGAGGGCGAGGGCGAGGGCGACGACGTCGTCCTCTTCCATGGCGATTCGTTGCGGTTAAGTTGCCCCGTTGCTTCAGAAGAGGTAGCAGCCTGGACGCTGCCATCGGCTCGGGCGGTACGGTCAACCATCCGACGGAAATCGCCACAGGGTTGACCCGGTTGTAGGCCCGCAGACAGTTTCTGACATATAGGCGCAAGGGGATGGTGCGCCCGACCCTCTACCACGACTGCTTCTCCTCTAAGACGACTTCTCGAAGTTCTTCCTCTCAACGCCACCACCAAACCGTCTGCGAATCATGCAGAATGGCAGACTACGGGAAAGTCGACTCGAAAGCCGAGGAACAACTCCTCGACCTAGCCGCTTCCAGACGACAAGGAACAAGATGACGGCAGGAAGAGACTGCCCTCGGTATATCCTTGGAAGGGTCTGGGGTCCCAGGCTCCCACGAGTTCCCGACAACTAGCTCCACGACGTGAAGACGACACCTGTCATTCGTCTAATAACACAAATCCAGCAACCGTGCCGAGGAACAGCTGCACCTTACCTCCCTCCAATCATGGCCGCACCGCTTGACACCAATCCTTTCCACGCCTTCACCCTTCCATCTTTCTCACTTTGCCCCCTGACCGAGTTCAATTACATGCTAACACCTCCCCTCTCCGGGCAGCAGATCATCAACGACCTCACAGCCGACAAGGCCATCACGGGCCTCGTCTACGGCCTCGTGCTCGGTCTCGCGGCCTTCGTGGTCAGCATTCTCTTCGTCTTCTGCCTCGCCAGAACTCTCCTTCGTCTCGTCTCGCGGTCTGCCGGTGTCGTCTTTGCTTGGGTGGTGACTGTACCTGGGGAGATTCGGTGGGGTATTCGTCGGCTTGGCCGTCGCCTCCGTCGTGGTCGTGGAGGGATGGATACTGGAGAGGAGGAGGAGGATGGGGTGTTTGAGTTGGTGGATTTGGGTGGGAACACGGTACGTGCGGTTTTCGCTTTAATTTGTTTTCACCCCTATTCTACCACGGATTATGTTGTTGATTTTGTGTTGATGGATCATAAACATCGATGGGGGAAGGCCTCCAGCTTGCCAAGTGGCCAGCGGGTGTCTATCGCAGCGCTGGCCGTGTGTGTGCTGCAGGCTGAGCGCGTGGCCTTCGGTGTCAGCCCTCGAACATACCTGAGCAGGGTGCAACAGGCCCATGTCCCGTCTGAGAGAAGCTCGCCGATGGTGGCGTTCAGGTCTTTTCACGGGGCGCAGTACTCCATTGCCAGGAGCTCCTCGTTCAATGGGACGAGCGTGAAGTCGACGTCACCCATCCTAATGTACTCGGGGATTGCCTTCTGCATCATGTCCCTCCCAACCTTTCCAAAATGGTTTTTATTCGGGAATGTATTTTGCTTCCTCTTTGTCACCCCAACCTGAAACTTCTGGATGAAGCGAGCAATCTCCTTCAACTCCTCACGGTCGTCACCGTTCTCAGGCGTGCTCTCGCCAAGGCCTCCCTGACTGTGGCGATTGGGGTAGCTAGGTCTCGCTGTACTTCGTCAGGCGTGATTCCATTCCGTACCGTAATCGCATAGGGTCGTCGTTAGCGGGAGCGTCGTCGTGTGCCGGGCTACTTTGCAAGCCTGATGCCGTGCAGCGTCAAAACACGCTGTTCCGGTTTGTTGGTTTGTCAATAACTGCGGCATTCAGAACAAAGTCCCTGGACAAGGGGTGGAGCAGCGTGTCCTGCTAGCTTCCAGCATAGCAGGTTTCTACCCTTCACATTCTAACCATCGAATCTTGGTTGGCGGGTGCTCGAGAGCCGGAGATACGGTAGGTAAAATGGGGTCCATACGACTACCTAGATGTCAAATTGTGTGTCAACCATGGCTTGTCGACCCTGTGATGGCCACTCCGAAGCCTCGCTTTGGTCCATTGCTGCCTGACGCCAATTCCTCCACTTCAAGCTCCACGACTGGACATGGGCGGACGCCTGGCGTCTCAGCACTGTCCTCGGGCACAGCTCAACTCTGGCGATGGCGGAAGTGCTCAGACTCCGGATGGTCGCGACGGCGATCCAACTCAGCGACGCGGACATGACAACCGAATCCAGAACCGGGCAGTCCCTCTGGTACGCTGTCCATACTCTCATGATATGGATTGCATCCGGGAGTGGCGGAAGTGAAACAGCCACAAGGAAGCATGCAGGCAACACCTGCGTTTTCCTTCGAATTTGAAATTGCCTGTTTCATCGTCACCGCCAAGCCCCACCCCTGAGCTCCTCGGGCGGCCGCACCAGCGACGGGTGGTACCCAGACTCCATCCGATGGTGGGTAACGGCCGAGGTTTGTCGGCAAGGGCGGCTACGGAAGCCAGGAGTCTTTGGTAGGCCTCGCGGCCTGCGTCTGCGAGGGCGGCGTGCTCAAGGCTCAGGGAACAGGAAGCGCATGTCTTTCAACCCTGCGTCCCCCTCAGACTCCCAACCCCAGCATGACCCAATCAACACCACATCCGGTCTTCTTTGAAGCGCCACCAAGTGGTGAAGATTGCGGGATCGTCGACATTGAAATCCTGCCCAACAGAGTCAACAATAAAGCCATCCCAGTTGATATAGGCCGTCGAGGCTGACCCTGGCATGAGGACCGCGAGAGTTGGACAATGACAAATGTCAACGCATCTTCTCAACAAGAATCAGCAGCGCTAATGGCTAACCAGTGCATCAGCCGCAACGCCTCGCCGCCGCACAACCCGGCGACCACCACCATCGCCCCGCCGGCGCACGCCCACGTCGCCGAGAGCAGCCGGGCCGGCGGCGCCAACGACACCGACGCCCTTATGTCGGGAGCACTGGGTGGCGAAGAGGGGGCGGGCCGTGAGACCAGTGGCGCAGGCCGCGTCTAGCTTTTTTTTTCGACTCCGTTTGGACGTCGCGAGGGAATCTGGCGGAGGGGGGACAAAATAGGGAGATCTTGAGGGAAGCATGGGAGTTGGGGGAAAGGGGGTGGGGGGAGGACGAAAGAAAACAAACATATATTACCCGAGGGCTGGGCAAGAAAGTGTGTTTTTTTTTCCCGAGATGGATGGAGTTCGCGCCAATAAATAACATTGTGCGCTGCTCAGATGGACCCGTTGCTGTGATCCTCTTGCCTGTGTTCTGTCCTCTCCCTACCTCCTTTCACTAACCTCCCCAACAGTGTATCCCTTCGCAATACCACTCCTCCCTTCCTCAATGGCAGTGCTCTCTTCCACGACATAGTCGCTTCCCAGACCCTGCCATGTCCGTTGTGACCGGAGGTACTCAGCGCCGGGACTGACAACGCCGTTGACCATGGCCAGCTCAGCCTTGGGCCGCAATGCCAAGGCACTATTTGGTGTCTTTTCTCGTTCGACGGCACTCACCCCGCTCTTCGGCTCCCCATTCACCATCCTCACGCCGTTCCTCATCGGCCGACTATGGCTGATCAGTTTCCCAGTTCTCAAATCAAACTCAGGCGGCGCCGACTCGTCCTCATCATCATCTTCTCCGTCCTCCAACCGTTCCCCATCCCTCCCCTCCTCAACAGCCCTCACCCCTTCAATACCGCCCCACCACTCACCACTCCACACTCTCTTCTCATCCCCCATCAACGCCACCCCAAGCTCAAAAGGCGTGACAACAGGCCGATAGAATCCCGCATCGTCCTCGACAAGCGAGCTCTCCCAGCAGCCCACGACAACCCACCCGTCGACCTCGGCAAAGTTTGCCAGCTTGGCCGGGTTGAGCTTGCCAACGACGACAGTGTAGCTCTTCTTGCCCGCCGCGGCAATCTGTTTGCGGATGGCGTCGACCGAGGACAGGTAATTGGACACGGAGAGGGTGTTGACGAGGATGCCTATGATCCCTGCCGACGCGAGAGTCAGGAGGCGGGCGTAGCGGCGGCCGAGGAGGCGGGTGGTCGAGAAGGATGATGGGGCGGAGGAGGGTGGGCTGGAGGAAGAGGAGGTCGGGTGGATGTGGAGGGACTGGACACGGGAGGAGAGGGCGAGCAGGAGGGCGGTTGGCGGGGTGGAAATGTGGAATATGGCGTGGGATTTGAGATCGATGTCGGCGGGTGAGATATCGGCGCCCTGTGGGGTGACGAGCTTGCGGTTGGGGATCTGGCCGGTTGGGTCGTGAATGATGGATGTGGAGAGGAGGTTGGTGTAGCCGCGGGTTTGTAGCTCGGATGCGAGGCTCGGGATGTGATCTTGGTAGGTCACGTCCGCCATGAGGACAGCCTTCGCATCCTTATCTGGGTGTTGTGTCTCGAACGCGGCGAGCGCTGCCTCGCGGTCGAGGGGATGGTGGGTAAAAACATAGATAATGGGCAACCTGGAGGTTGGAGAAAGGCACGATCTCCCGTAGTGCACCACAACATCGGCGTCGACATGTTCAGCCGCGATTTCATCGACGCAGCAGGCGCTGTACGATGTATCGGCGAGTATATATATCCTCTCGGGAGAAGGCCCAAACTGCTCTGCTGTCTTCGGGAGAGACTCAAGCTCGGCATTCAATGTTTGACTTACGCGGGGCGCATCCCGCAGCATGGAGTCGGGGAACTGGAGGGCTATCCTTCTCCAGCCACCCTCGCGCACCTCTCTCGCCGTACGGGCAATCTCGTAAAGTTCGCGCAGCTCATCGTCTGATCTGGGTGGTGCCTGAGACTCGGTGTCTGATGCGAAAACGGCGTGCTCAAAGACGTGTTCGGCCGGCGTCGAGAGAACGGGCGCGGCGGAGAGTTCGGCGGCCATGGTCGCAAAACTGGTTCCAGCCCAGGTTGATGTTCGGACTTCAGTTGAGCCAAAAAGTTTGGCATGGCGGGGTCATCAGAGCTCGAAAGTGCCCCGCAATTGGGTGACGTCGGCTAACAGCGGGTCTGATCAGGGTTGCGACAGGGCTTTGCGGGGGTCGCTGCCCCCAACTCCTTGGCGACTCCTCGTCAGCTGAACTGGGCACATCCTCGATGAATACCGTAATGGGAAAATGCACCAGGCGGGTATGATACTTCGCATTCCAGGGATACAATCTGCCGTTGATATGTCAACTAGCATTCCCACCGCAAGTAGCATTC